GGAGATAGTAAATTTTTTACTTTGAAATAAATCAACTCAAGTTTTTATTTTCATACATTTCTGGAGTTTTATGAGCAAAAGGATGTTAGTTGGAATTTTGGGCGAATTATAGAAATCCTGTCCAATTTTTACTTTCAATTTAAACAGCGAGCCATACGAAGACAAAATTTAAATGAAATAAATTTCTTAATTTTTTTCTTCTGTAAACTTAAAAAGGGGGGAAAAACACATGCCATACAAAACGTAATAAATTTTTTATGAATCCATAGTTAAAATTTTACAGTGAAATTTTAAAAGCAAAATTTGCAATAACTAACTGAAACAGAAAAAATAATTAAAGGCACCCCTAAATAAATTGAAAACACTGAAATACATTATAATTATCTGACAGCAACTTTAAAAACAAATTACCATGAAAGCTTTTAGACAATTATTTGGAATGACTATTGTGAAAGGCAAGAGCAAGTTTTCACCCAATACCCAAAACCATTTACATTACATTTAAAAAGTCTTTAAAAGAATTTCACATAACTAACACCAAGTATATCTGACTACAACAACAAACAACCTTTTCGAACAACGTGGTAAAAGACTGCTAATATGGCCGCCGGCATGCTGCTTTTTTGCCTCCTGATGTTATTTCGCACATGCGCAGTGAGGTAACGTAATAAATTTTTTATGAATCCATAGTTAAAATTTTACAGTGAAATTTTAAAAGCAAAATTTGCAATAACTAACTGAAACAGAAAAAATAATTAAAGGCACCCCTAAATAAATTGAAAACACTGAAATACATTATAATTATCTGACAGCAACTTTAAAAACAAATTACCATGAAAGCTTTTAGACAATTATTTGGAATGACTATTGTGAAAGGCAAGAGCAAAGTTTTCACCCAATACCCAAAACCATTTTACATTACATTTAAAAAGTCTTTAAAAGAATTTCACATAACTAACACCAAGTATATCTGACTACAACAACAAACAACCTTTTCGAACAACGTGGTAAAAGACTGCTAATATGGCCGCCGGCATGCTGCTTTTTTGCCTCCTGATGTTATTTCGCACATGCGCAGTGAGGTACGGAGGGTGATAGCTTTGGGATGGTTTACCCCTTTAAAGTAAGCTTCAGGGATATACATAATGTGTCTCTTCGGTCTGACGGAGCCACATTTGCCTCGGGGAACCTTTACTTCTTCTCCTTAGAGATTCTTTGGTACCGCGGAATGGCCATTTTGCTCCATTTTGAACTGTGTATTTTAGTATTTCATTAATGAAGCCGTTGATAAGTGCTAGATTCAAATAGGACTTTTCCATCATTGACATCTATGGTTCAGCGTAGTTAGTCAGTTTGAGTTGAAGTAAAATAAGCTTAATTATCGCTATCTTCTTCATTTTATTTATGGAAGGCAATTGTCTTTTAACTTGCTATTCTGTAAGGTTAGTGTAGCTTAACTTCTCTTCCTAACAGTGCCGTGTTCTATAGTTTTTGAATACCACTGAATTTCTGGTGGGAAATCTAGTTATTCAATTCAGTTAATTCCAAAAAGAGCAAAATCCCCGACGTGATTTTTTGGAATAGGAGAGTTACGTGATACATACGCCGTAGGTTTCAGTGTTAAAGTAAATCAGATAGTCCCTACTCTTTCTTGGCGATATGTCGGTGACGCGCGCCCCGCCCACTGGGTTAGTCTATCTCTTATAAGGTCCATGGCCGGAACACGTCCTGTTTTCTCGCCCGATAATCGCGGTATACAAGTGGAACAAGGAACAAGGCTCGAGTAGCGACTGAGAATCGCCAGATGGTTGACTTCTAATCACTAAAATAAAATGAAGTCTCGCCTACAATGAAGTCACGCCTACGTGGCGGACAAATGATACATATACTCAAGGAGGTTAGAACTGATGGAGATGCCCTCCACGCAGTCCAAGCCAAAAAAAGGTGGAAAGAATTCCCTTAGTAGTCGTGGCTTAGAAAGATTGACGTACTCTAACCACACCCAATTTTGTTCCCAGTAGTCGTAAAGGATCGCAGATTCTTCACGCCCTCTTTCCGTTACCTTTCTCGCCATTTCATTTTATTTCTACATTATGTAACTGCTATACTTTCTACATTACGTAATTGCAATAATTTCTACATTATGTAATTGCATCCTCTAATCAATCCAGTTTTGAGCACAAAATAAAATGTAGGTAAAAAAGGTAAGACCTTTTTTAGTAATGTAGGTAAAAGGTAGACCTGTAATGTAATCATGATCAGGCATCAAAGTAAACTGTTTTCTTTTCCATGAAGAGCTAGCCACGCCCCCTCTCCTTGTTTACTTATCGTTTTGCCATCACATATAAGTTAATTACGAATATCACTTTTATTATTATTATGAAAAGGTAAATCTGAGAACTATATATGTTTCTTCGTGTACTTTACACAAAGAAAATACTCAAACTCTTTCTTAAAGGCCATTCAAACACACATTTCGATTATTCTACTTTTTTATACACGTTCTAAAACATTATTTTACATGGACATGAAGTCGGAACTGTAGACATTATTTCGCTGTAACAATTCAGTGCCTTTTAGGCCTTTCGCATCTACGCATACAAAATCAGAAAACACACAGAACTTGAAACCAGCTGGCGTTTTACCTCACTTCGCTTAGTAAGGTAACTGTTTTCTTGCCCTCACTTGGCGTGGCTTCACTTTCTTCGTACTGCAATAGCAGAGACGCCATCTCCATGTATTCTAACCTCCTTGCATATACTGGAGATTTACCCAGCTCGAGTAGCGACACTGCCAGATGGTTGACTTCTAATCACTAAACACTAACTAAAAACTCTGGACGCCTCCATTTGGGAACTGCTCCCTGTGCGGCGTGAACCACATCTTGGGAAACACTGCGCAATCTCGCTCTATTTGTTGGCTCTTTCGGCAGGACTTCTTTTTTCTCTGCTTCGCCTTGCTGATAGCCACGCAGAGTTTACTTTCCGTTTTGTCCCGAAACACGAATTGAAAAATGAAGTGTTAGGTTTGGAGGACACTTTACCTTGATAAGTCTGTCTCCTGCCCGTTCAACAATTATTCACACATGCAAAATTATTTGGTCTTAAAAAATTCATTAAAAATTTTTTTGAGATGAATTTTTTAAAATATTATATTTTTTCATGGTTTTAGACATGGCACTTAATTTACATATGCTTTTAGAATTTAAATGATATTGTAAATTAGTTCGCAGCAATAATTAACTTTATTTTTTATTTTTGCAATTAAAATTTTCTTAATTAAATTTTAAATTTATATTAGCTTTTACGAATAGAGAATATTTGTTAAATTCAAATTTCATTCCTTGCAGCAATGGCGCAAGAGAATTATTTAAATTTTTATCTCTAACTTTACTATATTCTTGTGAAACAATATATATATACAAACAGGGTGTCCAGAATTAAACTTGAAATTTGAAACAGTCTGTAGCAAAAACTATGCAGCAGAATTGCATGAAAATTGTGTAATGGCAGAATGAAATGATGGGAATTTTATCCAGAAAAAAAGAGTTTCAAAAACCACCACTAGAATGGCGCTTGTGCAATGTAAACTATTGGCGTATGCAAATGTGGTAACTATAGTAAACCTGTTCGTGCACGAACAACCCTATTAAAAATGCGAGAGGCGCACCGCAGTCATACTCCTTTCCAAGTCAAGGAAAATCACCTTGACTCTCCAGAACGCGCTTTATTAGTCAAATTGTTTTACCGAATCGGAGACTCTGCTACAGAAGCTTTGCAGAAATTTCAGTCTTTGAATCGGTTACGAAAAAGTCCACTTGTAGTCAAGGACTAATAAACATGATTAAGAAATCTGAAGCAACGGGAACATTGCCAATTCGGCCAGGAAGGGGACGAAAGTGTGTTGTAGCACAGGTAGTGGATACGTCGCTGTTTTTTTTTTGCGCGAGTTGAGCTCCAGGATAAATGGCCATGGAAAATTTTATGGACCGACGATGCCCACTTTCATATGGAAGGTCCGGTTAACACGCACAATTGCCGTATTTGGTCTGCCCACGAACCCACATCAATTCCTAAAATTTCCATCACACTCTTAGCATGTAACGGTTTGGTACGGCTTTACTGCAACCTTCCTTGTGGGGTTCGTTTCTTTGGTAGAGCGTGCCGCAGGGCCTGTGACATACACCTTCACCGGTCAACGATACGCTTCATTATTAGATCGATCCGTTATTTCTGCTCTTCAGGCAAGGCGATGTGACACAACCACAGTGTTTATGCAGGATCGTGCTCCTCCACATATCGCCCGTTGTGTGCAATAAGTGCTCCGCCGCCATTTCGGTAACGACACAATCATCAGCAGGCAATTTTCTACAGCTTGGCCTCCTAGATCCCCCGACTTGAATCCTTGCCACTTTTGGCTGTGGGATACGTCAAGGCTATAGTCTTCCATAATGCCATCACATCTCAATCCGACCTTAAAAAAAGCGTTGAACGCCATGTGCGTAAAATTCCCCAATTCATGTTGCTTTCAACAGTCGAACTTGAGATTTTACGCTTCCAGATAGTAGCAGACAATGGTGGACATCATTTCGAGCATGTCTCTGATACGCCATATAAGGGTGGTTTCTGAAACTCACTGTTTTTTAATCCCTTACTTAAATTCCCATCATTTCATTCTGCTCTTAACCAATTTTCATGTAATTCCACTGTATAGTTTTTGCTACAGACTGCTCGCAAATTTCAAGATTAATCATGGACACCCTGTATATATATATGTATATATATATATATCGATATATATATATATAATGAATATATATATATATACACACATGTACACCTACACATAAATAAACAAATACTATCGCTCTTAACTTTCATCCTTTTGTTCCTATGTTATATACAACAGCTAATTCACTTAAAACGTTTACTTAATTTAATTAAATGATTAAATCATAGTTCTAGAAGTCTGTGATGCATTTGAACACTACTTAATCTTACCTCTGCAAGCGTCTCCTTTAGGAGCAAATCCTTCAGGACATTTGCAAACTTCTTGTCCGTCAACCAATTCACATGTCCCTCCAAAGCAATGTTTCTCCGTACACCGAACTTCTAAAGTATTTCAAGAAAATAATTTTTTAGAAATGAAACATTCTGAATCGAAATATAGATATTTCAGTAATTGTACATTCTGAGTATTTTAAATTATATGTAAGAAAATAGCACAATGCAAGGCGGCTGTATTGAAGTTTCCCTGTTCAGAGTCCTTAGCTCATCTCAGTCAATATAATACAATAATGAAACCTCCAATTTAGGTTATTTATACCGCGAGGAAAAGAAGCACGAAGAAAGAAAAGTATTTCCAGTTTTTGCTACTTAGTGATTCTTAAAAAGTACGCTTCCGCAGAACAAATTTAAAAAATACTCTCCTGTTTAAAAAACGAATCATCATTACTAGAAAATTTATCTATTTACACTAGAATTCCTTTAGAAATGGAAGAACATGCTTTGCTCATCAAGTTACTTCATGAGAACAGCAGCAGTTGCTCAACTGCAATACGAGAATATCATTCCGAAAGGATGCGAGAGGGCCAATGACAAGACTTAGATTAAGAAAGAAGACGAAGAAAAAGTTTGAGCTGATTGGAGACTTCGGCAGAGCAGTATATCACGATGAAGTTCGCCTTTGATACTTCAAAATTCTGTGTGCCTTGATCCGAGTCTTGGAATGAAAATAGAAAGCAATAAACAAATAGGTACACGCAGAAACCTTATTTGCATAAGCGTACTCATCTATGAGTTTTAATGAGAATATATATAAATAAGATAAAAGTATGCAAAATAAAATCATAATTTAAATTAGCAACAGCCTCTTAATTCCTCTTTTTAATTTGGGTATTTCCCCCTCTCTATTCTAAAAGTAGTAATAATTATTTCTGGACTTCGTCATTTCTAGACCAATCCACATCATATGACTTGCAAAAGACTGATAACGTAGTCGGAACTTGAACTCAAAATTTCCAGCACTAAAACTTTCTCTTGGTGAGCTTACATATTGGATAACTACGCACTTTTGCTTCGACCTGTGTTCTCGCTACGATATTATCTCGCTACTCTCTTCCTATCGCAATAGCATCAAAAATGTAAATGCTCTTGAATAGGCACGATTGGAGTGCGAACTGAATTGTGGCCCCAAATGTCAATTGAAATGAATACAATATTTAACATGCCTCGAATGCCAAGCTTGCTGTTCATTACGGATTCAACATTCTACGTTGTATGTCATCAATATAGCAAAGCCTTTCTCATTACACACACACATATATAAAAAATCTAATGAAATTGTTTGTAAAAATTTATATGTATTATTTATTATTTACAACTAGTAATGCATTTGTGTTCAATTCAGTGTTTCTTTTTACTTTTATAACAATTCTACAAGAAGTGGCATATTTTTGTTTTCTGATACCGAACTAATAAATAACTCTGGAAAGAAAGCAAGAAATTTGAGGTTCGGAAACTGCGACTGCAGTGAAGTTTGCAATCATTTTAAAGTATTTCTTTTAAACTTAATTTGAGGATTTCTTTAGAAGAGTTTAATGATTTCTTTCTGTTATTTCCCTGAAAAGAAGTTAGGTAAACAGAAATATTGAAAGGTTTCGTAATATGGAACACTTATTAATTAAAAAAAAAACAGGAAATAATAAAAGAGGATGAACACAATGTACCAGTTTAAAGATTTTGTGAAAGTAACTCGAGTACCTTTGAACGTTCCGTATTCCTAGGGTTATTCATATCACAGTTTGATAACCATTTATTAGACTAAAGCATGAGTTAAATAACATTAAAAACAATTTACCTAGTTAAAAACAGGGTAACAATAATAAGTTATTGCAGCTGCATTAAGAGAAAACTTTTACTGACTTTTACAAGTGTTTCCTTGTAGAACATATCCCTCCAGACAGGTGCAAATCTCTTCGCCATCAATTACACGGCAATGACCACCAAAGCATTTGTTGATTTCGCAGATGGTTTCTATCATGGAAAAAGTATTTCGTCAGTTAAAGAAACAATCATAACACAAAATAAGCTATTTTTTTTAATATTTTTTCATCAGCTATGTAGATTTAGTTGTGTTTTATATGCCCTTGTTATTTAATGAAATACATGCTATGAAACCAGTGACAATCTTAATACTGCTAAGAACCAATCTTTTTGAAGACTCAGGCAGTCACCTAATAATAACTAACTTTTGGCAATTATATTATTATCAAAAGTTAATCACCTTATGTCAAGGATGTAAAGAAAGCTTTACTGTACGCCATGCAGAGGTGTATCCTGAGTTTTCAGAAAGGGCACACTGCTGATCACCAGATTTTAAAAAATTGTATTTATGAATTTAAGTGAAAATTACATGTATTCAAAAGTTGGCTATAATATTTACGTATTAATGTATAGTTACATTGTAAGGATTATGTTAATTTTATTAACAGTTAAATTTTGAGTTAAAAGTTCCCTACCTATCGATTTCTTAACTTCAACTTACATTTCCGGCTAGAACGTAGTTTAGAATTACGTCTGAATACATAATGAGGAAGAACGGTATTTAACCGCGAAGTTCTTCAGTCTTAGGGAGAGAGATGTCAGGTACTCTGGCTGTACGCGTCCGCTTTTATAGGCTACTCTCTGGTAAGCTATTATCATGCTCGGCCGTACTTTAGGCCCCTTGATAGCTTCGGAGTCTATTAACATTAAGGGGCCAACTCTGTTAGAATTTTGATAGCCTCGGTTATACCTCTTTAGTGTAGATTAGTTTAGGTTAATACTTAGTATCTTAAGTTCAAGCTGAAGTGTTTGCTTTATTGTACACTCCAAAACGGAGTTTTGTTAAACTTTAGTTGGAATAATAAAGGGTTAGTTTTACCCCTCTATCGTGTAGTTTCCTGTCCCACGAACTCAAGCGATTATTTGCTTATCAGTTCTTAAGATTCTTTACTTCCAACAGTAACTTAATTACAAAGTGAGGAACTCTACAGCATATAAAATAATTAAAAATTCATAAGACTTAAGGTATGAAATGCTGATATAGAATTTTTTTCATATAAAGTTCGGGAACAGTTTCAGATAAAGTTTGCAAACATAATTCAAATTTTGATTGATTGATGCATGTTGCACAATAATTTATTTCCAATTCCAATAAATAAATTATGTTAATTGATTATTAATTCAGCCTACCGCCAGATAAAAGTTGAACACTAGTACAGTTTATGTTGATACTGACAAGGTCAGTGATTCAGTCTTTTAAATTTCACTTATCATGTTACGAAAACTAATGGTATTTACACATGATTTAAATTTATGTGCAAGGTTATTTTCAGTCCCAAGAGAAAAATAGAGAACATTCAGTTAAAATAATTTGCAAGACTAGTGTTGATATATTAATTAAAAGTTCGTATTACACATTACAGTTTCACAATACAGGTAAGTCTGCCTATTTCTAGGTAGCCAGAGGTAAACTATATATGAGGCCTGGAGGAGCATCAGTTTCTGAGTAGTTGGGTAAGAGCTGAATCCGAAGTATTGACATATCCGTGAGAGTTTTGCCTTTTAGATGCGCTTTGCATTACGTTGTAATTAATGCTTTTAGGAGTCTGAAATGTATCTACTGATTGTGGTATGTGATTCTCAGAAGAGCTGTACGAGTATTTGTGTCGAAAGTTCCAGAACTGTAAGGTGTTTCTTTTAAAATAAATTTTATCATTCCATCATCGATTAGGTATGCATTCAATTCGTTATGAAGGGATACGCACGCAACAGTATTTCACGCAGAAAGCTTGCAAATTAATTTCCCTCAAAAGTAATCTAATGAATTTACTATATTAATGGGTAAAACATTATTTGAAATAATATTCAGCTGAATGTGCATGAACATTTTTAAACCAGGGAAAAATTATTTTATCCGAGCAATTTCATTAGAGAATTAAGTTATTAGATGCGCGTAGAGTCACCTGTGCATTAGATGCAAGTTTTGATCGGAGGACGTGAGTCACAAGTTATACTGAATAATTTTAAACTCTAACCAACAGCAAATGAAGCGATGGAGTAAATACGGGGGCTGAAGATTGTCAAAATAACTTCCAGGTTTAACGGTTTAAAATGACATTCCGTAACAGTTTAAAGTGGCATGCTATCAGATAGTGTTTGTGTACAAGAGATAATAGAGATAATACAGCTGCAGGGCAATAATACAGCTGCTGATTGCAGCAAGATTTATCAGGTGTCAGACTGATTCCAACACTGATTTCAGATTAAGTCAACAATGATTTCAGAAATTTCAATTCGGAATACTGACATTTGGTACACAAACCATTCATGTTCTAGACGTTCATCAGTAGCTTTTGAAGACATTCAAGGGAACGTTTTACAAGCTAGAATCTCATTTAACATACCACAAGTTAATAGAAATGTTTTCGGTAAGCAGAACATAATGAAGGATGAATGAGTCATCAAAACATTCGATCATTGTTTTTCACACCAATTATCTGAGAAGCAACGAGATGAGAGAGCAGGTATCTGTGCTGCTTTCACCTTACAGGAACGAGCCATGTTTAGAATGAACTGTAATATCTGGCAAAAACAATAGATATTGTACTGCAATATAGACGATTGGAAGACTGATTGTTTGTCGAGTTACTAAACTACGTCATCAACTTCAGAAAGAAAACTCCATAATAACCAGATTTTGTCAAGTTCATAAAAAGATATAAAAGAATGTTGATGAGATGTAAGCAAACGATAAGCAATTACTCCTGGCATCAATATTGCTCACATTCAGAGAACCAGTAATATTCACTTATTAGCCATAAACGCATTGTCTTTTAAACATTCTTAAATTCGGCTCTGCAGTATTTACACTATTCCTCTGACTTAACCGGAACCGAAATATTATTTCATCCAATCATTGCACACACTTTCAGTCTCCAAATTTTTGAATTGTGAAAAACCACAGCATCTAATTTTTTTAACTCCAAGTCAGAGAGTTTCATTGGTAAGAAATAAACCTGCTAACAGGTAGGGGTCAACAGGTCATATGTAATGCTGGCAGTTTAGTGCAATCATAGCTACTTGTCAGACTTTCTTTTTTGTTTGTTTTTTAACCAAAAAAAAAAAAAAAAAAAAAAAAAAAGGAGAGAGCTTTCACGCACATCTAACAATTAATTAAATATAGCATCTTTAGAATAAAAATTTCATTTTTATATGATAAAGCTGATTGATTGTAACTCATGTATTATTGACGAATTCAGTTATATAGCAAATGATTACTAAGTAATTATGCGTATGATCCGCAGCACCAAATAAAGTGTGACAGCTATTTATGAATTTAAATAGGAAAACCTAAATATATTTATATTAAAGCGCCATATTTTATTAAATTTATATAAAAATAAATAAGCAGATTTAAATTAGCTCGTAATCTTGATTTAACGATTCAGTTGAATGAAAATCACAGTTAAACATTCGGATATACAAACGTGGCTAAATTCTGTCAATTTCTTTCTTGCAAGTCATTCAGGGTTGAATTACAGTGAAAAATTAGAGTATTATAGAGAGGAAATTTCATCTTTACGTTATGAAATCCAATAAAATATCTTGAAATTTCGAATCATCCTCTTAATCATCTCTTAAATTTTAGCAAAATCAACTTTTTTTTTTCATTGCAAAGAATGAGTGTTCGGTGAAATTTTAAACTATGACACCCCAATTTATTTAATGCCTATAAAATATTTTGTTTATTTTCAGCAAACGGATTTCGTGTCCTACCAGAATTAAAAATTTTATTACCTGAAAGAATATTTTATGTTCTACATTTTGAATTTCTGGTAAGTTAATTCTTAAACCAGCATCCTAACCGCTTATCTTAAAACTGTTTCAGGCGTTAAATTTAAATTTCCATTCGAGATTTCAGGTCCCTTTTTAATTTTATAATACACTAATGCTTGTGAAAAATGCAACACCATGTAGCAACTGTCGGAAATGAATGAAAGTTGCTGATAGATTACACATTACTGATAGTGGTACAAATAAACGAAAAAAATTGCAAGACAAAAAAGAATGTCGGAAATCAATAATTTGTGTGTCCACCACGTTGAGCGATGAGAGCCTGTACAAGTAGTGGCATTGAATCATACAGATTCTGAATGTAATCCTGGGGAATGGAATTTCCATATGGCTTCGATCTGACGCCAAAGTTCAGGCTCAGTGTGTGCCCCACCAGCTAGACGAGCACATCACCGACCAATGAAATCTCAGATATTCTCATTGGGCTATGTATCGGGGGAATAAATAGACCATAGATGAAGCGAAACTTGTTGTGTCCTAAAGAAGTCTGAGAAACATGTGCACGGGCATTATCCTGCTGAAGAATCGGTAGGACCTCTGGCTACACACTTCCGATAGTAGAGCTCACTGTTGAGGTTGCCTACAATGTGCACTAGACCAGTACCTCTTACATACATGATACTATGTAGGAGGTACTAGACGGGATAGAGAGTTACTAGACGGAGGTACTAGACGGGATAGAGAGTTATACACAATAGCTCCCCACATCATGAGGGCAGGCGTTTGCGTGGTATGACGCTGTATAACACACCGCCGGAGCAGACGTTTCTCTATGCAATGTATGACGCGTACTCTTCCATCATTGTACTCTAGATTGTAGCGAGATTCATTGAAGAAAACAACTTGTTGTCACAAAGCACGCCACGCACTATGTTCCCGGGTCCATTGAAGTCGGAAACGTCTGTGATTCAGCGATAGGGGAATCCTGCGTAGAAGAAACATTGTACGCAGTTCATGATGCAGCAGACTCGACGAACCATGAAGCTACACAAAACACCTGTATCCATGCGCCAAAGTTGTGCTAACACACGAGAGGTCGCTGTACGTTCCGCGGCATATGAGGTGTGTGTCGTCTCGTGTCGTTGTGCTATTGCATGCCCCACTACCAGAATTTTGCCTTGTTTGGTTCTCCTCTGTCCATTTCTTCAAAACATGCATCACTATTGTAGTATTACGCTGCGTACGACCTGCGATTACTCGATACGAAACTCCATCCTCTCGCATATCGGGACGCGACCTCTTTCGAACTCCGTTAGTTGTTGGCATGACCCCCTCCACTGTTGACGAGGTATACTGACAACTAATTAAACGTTCATTGCAAAGAATGAAGCTGAGTTGAACGCAACTTTACAGTACTTCACGGAACAAGCGGCCGGTTCTCATTCCACGCATGCGCATTCGCTTTGTATTTCTAATTATTTGCATGTCTTACCTCACTTTACTACATTTCCTACAAGTTTGGTTCAAGTTGCATAATTCTTTCATGATGTTGCAATTTCCACAAATATTGGTGTATTTTATATTTTTGTTGGAGGACTAGGAACTAAGGAAAGAGTGGGACATCGTTAAATCTGATGAGGTTTCACTTTCATGCTATAACAATCAATTGGCATTTCTGCTGGGAATTACCCCGGGAAGGCGTTCCAAGTGTAGAAGTGGATCGAGCTTTGAAATGAGAATGTGAAACGTCAGGACATTTAGTCACTTTTCGAAGCATTAAGATAGCTTAAGTTCATATGAGAAGTGATCTGCTGTTAAATCTAATAGCACCACATATAACAGTGGTGGTTCTTGGTGCACAATGCCAGGTATGATGATAATCGTCTCCTCGTCTCTCATAGATTCTACGGTGGATTCATTTTCAACCACAATTTTGGTTTAACATAGCCTTGATTCAGCAGATAAGATGATAAGCCGGTAATATCTGGTAGTGCCTTGCTAAGATGTCAGAAGAAATCGAAGCTGTTAACGCACTTATAACCAGAACGTAATAAATATTGGTACTCTGCGGTTGACTACATTAGCAAGCCCATTACCGTTGGTTAATGCTGCGTTAATTCCGTCGAGAACGGTAGCCCAAACCGTCAAAATGAGATGGTAAACTTTCGTTGGACTTGAATAATTATAGTTGCTTAATATAATATCAATATAAACAAATATCAATCTCTTAATACAACAAAATTACATGATGCAACAAAATAAATAATAATATTATATATAACTGACAATAAAATAAATAAATAAATAAAGTAATAAGTATAATACTGAAATCTAATATTTTTTTCGTGCAGAAATATGTAACATGACTGTTTTAGAAAGTGTTCTTTTGTTGCTGTATTGGTGTATTGACGGTATTAAGATTTGCATTCCCAGTCTTTTTATTAACTCTTTATCGAAAGCTGCATTACAACCTTAAAATATGCATAAAACGTAACCTTATATTATACATAAAAAGCTTGGCGTAGAATTTCTATACTTGCCTTGGCATCCAACACCTTCCAAGTGAAAGCCCTCCGGACATACACAAACTTTAACTCCATCTTTTAGTTCACATTTGCCTCCGTAGCAAGTTCGAAGTCCACACTCACCCTCTAAAACAAAGTGCAAATTGGAAAGGTTAAAATCATTACTGAATGTTTCCTTCAGTTATTGACAATGATGGCAACCATCTCCTTAGATGATGATCTCTGACAGAGAAAACGGGATTTTTGAGAGCTTAAGTAAATAATGATATCGAACATAGAAGCCTTAAAGAGGTCATCTCCATAGAAGACCAGAACTGCAAGTTTTGTCTTATAGAGGCTTTGTTGTATTTCTAAAGAGATTTCTCTAGGCGTTTAATAATAGAGTTATAATAAAAGACGTATAGTAAGTTACCTGCACATGGGTTGCTTTATTTGGGAGATCAACTGTATGAGAGTCTTCGTAATTAAACAATATTTTTATTTCTATGCAAAATAAATTTAATTTAAATTTATATTATACTTTTAACTTGCCCTAATAGTTTAATAAACTGAATAATGAGCAAATTGAAGAAGCCCTAGTACAGTTTAAAGACTAACTTAATTTGAAAACTGAAACATCACTTTTAGCATACTGTAAGACACGTGATGTCCACGCTCGTGGTGATAGGTTTCATATGAAGCGTAAACTTGTCTTATGACTTTGAATGACTAAAAATGCACGATTTTTAAGCATTTTTCATTAGTTCAAAATGCATAGATTAGACAGTTTCAACATTAACTACCGAATTACACTGAAATAATTTATTGTGGGAAAATTTCTCCTATTATTAGGCAACATTTTCCAACGATTTGCTGAGAAAGATGTGCTAATGTTGCGGACACGCTAACACTTAGTCACTTCCCCAACACAGATTTACCGTGTCTTCAGCGCATTGCCAAAGTGCTTGTATAGAATGATAATTGCGTCTTCTATTGGCTATGTTGAGAAATAAATACCTTACGACATTAATTGCTTCTTGCTCAAAATCCATTATAAAGTATTCGGTTTTCACACCCCAAATTTTCCTATAATAACGAGAGATTTTATAATGAAGCCATTTCTTTCTGCAGTGCATCCCAGCATGTGCCGACAGTTCATATTAATGTTCGTCCATTGAGATATCCAATCAAAACGTGAAGGAATATAACTGCGAAAATTATTTGCAACTCCTTTTGAATATTTCAACCACGAAACAATCTCTGCTGTCTTCGTTCTTGAGAGCTAAAGATAAGAACTCTGCCTAAGTCGGTGCTATAGTACAAAAGAAAGCTGGTAAATTTGATAGGAACAGTTAAATCATTAACGCAATTTCGTTCCACTGTGAAATCTTGAGCTTTATTCCTTATTCCATGAAGAGATGACTTGCAATTTTGAAGCACTGGTGTATTGGTTAAAATCAGGAACTTTGTCAAACTGTTCATAGATTTCATTAAAAATATTTGGTATCTAGCCATCTTCTATCTAGCTCGTTTCTAAGCATTCGGCAGGTGGACTTCACCTTTGTCAGACTTACAAATATAGCCTGTAACTTTCAAAAACTACTTCATTTTATGTCGTTATCCACTGTCTGTATCTTACAGTTTCGATTTTAATGCATCTCTCATGTTGTCACTTAATTTGCATTGAAACAAAATTGTTGATACCGAGTGCGCCTGGTTTCCTTTTACACTGCTCGACATTGAAAATGCAACACCAAGAAGGAGTGGTCAGAAATTTAAGCAAATTTTAGAGTAGACGCACGTCACTGAGTTATGCGAATGATGTGAAATGCGCAGCTCTCCGACGCACGTGAAGTAAGATATAAGGGAAGGAACGTGTAGAATGAGCAATATTCGTGTCATTATTTCTGCCAGACGAATTATGGAAAAAAGCTGGGTTTTATCACGGAGGATACGTGTAATAGGAAAGAATGCCAGGCCGCCGCTAACGAAGGCACTTCCAGCAGATAGAAGATTTTACCAAGGGTATAGTGATCAGGGAAAAAAGGGCGGGTTTGTCCGTACGTCAAATCGCAGCTGATACCCACATGGATGCGAGCACGGTGTACCGGCTATGGCGAACATGGTTGGAACGAGGAAATGTGGGAAGGGGTGCAGGTGCAGCCAGAGTGACGCCAGCACGCGTGGATCGACGCATCCGCCGACAAGCTGTGGCGGTCCCGCAAGTCACTTGTACCGCGATTCTGCAGCATGTGCTAGATACCCTGGATGTTCCCGAGTCGACCAGAATCATTTCCCGTCGATTGGTTTAACGTGGCCTGCACTCACGGCATCCGTTAAGAAGACTGCCATTGACCCCACAGCACAGACGCCAACGTTTAGAATGGTGCCGGAGTGGAGCGATGTGGATGACAGAATGGCGAAATGTCGTGTTCTCAGATGAGTCAAGCTTTTGTTTATCCAGTGACAGTGGCCCCATACGTGTGTAGCGCCGACCTGGAGACAGATCTAATCCGGCAGTAACTGTGGAACGCCCCACCGCGCGACAACGTGGCATAATGGTTTCGGGCGCTATTGCTTACGATTCCATTTCACCTGTAGTTCGTATTCAGGGCACTATGACAGCCCAACGATACTTGGTTAATTTACTGCAACCGGTGGCAATCCCCTACCTTCAGGGGTTGCCTAATGTAATTTTTCAGCAGGATAACGCCCGACCACACAGTGTTTGCATCTAGCAACATGCTCTGCAATGGTATACAGATACTTCCCTGGCTCTCCTGACCTGTCACCAATCGAACATGTGTGGGATGTGATTGGACGCCGTTTGCAGACTCTGCCCCTGCCTCGTTCAAATGATTCGTTCAGAAGACGAACTGTGGCAAATGGTTGAAAGAGAATAGAGAGCAATCCCTCAAGACACCATCCGCACTCTTATTGACTCTATGCGCCTAGACGTGTTTCTTCGTGCATCGCTGTCCTCGGTGGTCCTGCATCCTACTGAGCCGACGCCGTTCTTGCTCTGTATTCTGCCTATCATTTTGAAATAAAAATCACTTATTGCTTTCTCTGTCTTTTTTCCAAATTTCCTCACTTTCTTGTCACTCTTTCTTGGCGTTGCATTTTCAATGTCGAGCAGTGTATATGTGTCAATAAAGGTGAAATTCATTTTAGGTAATGATCTAAAAACAACGCGAGATAATTATCTTCTATTATTAAGCAACATTTTCCAACAATCTGCTGAGAAAGATGTGCTAATGTTGCGGACATGATAACACTTAGTCACTTCCCCAACACAGATTTACCGTGTCTTCAGCGCATCGCTAAAGTGCTTGTATAAGAATGATAATTGCGTCTTCTATTGGCTATGTTGAGAAATAAATACCTTACGACATTAATTGCTTCTTGCTCAAAATCCATTATAAAGTACTTCGGTTTTCACCCCACATTTTTCCTATAATAACTGAGAGATTTTATAATGAAGCCATTTCTTTCTGCAGTGCATCACAGCATGTGCGACAGTTACCATATTATGTTCGTCCATTGAGATATCCAAATCGACGTGAAGGAATATAACTGCGAAAATTATTTGCAACTTCTTTTGAATATTTCAACCACGAAACAATCTCTGCTGTCTTCGTTCTTGAGAGCTAAAGATAAGAACTCTGCCTAGGTCGGTGCTATAGTACAAAAGAAAGCTGGTAAATTTGATAGGAACAGTTAAATCATTAACGCAATTTCGTTCCACTGTGAAATCTTGAGCTTTATTCCTTATTCCATGAAGAGATGACTTGCAATTTTGAAGCACTGGTGTATTGGTTAAAAGTCAGGAACTTTGTCAAACTGTTCATAGATTTCATTGAAAAAATGTTTGGTGTCTAGTTATCTTCTTATCTATCTCGTTTCTAAGCATTCGGCAGGTGGACTTCACCTTTGTCAGACTTACAAATATAGCCTGTAACTTTCAAAAACTACTTCATTTTATGTCGTTATCCAATGTCTGTATCTTACAGTTTCGATTCTAATGCATCTCCCATGTTGTCACTTAATTTGCATTGAAACAAAATTGTTGATACCGAGTGCGCCTGGTTTCCTTTTACACTGCTCGACATTGAAAATGCAACACCGAGAAGGAGTGGTCAGAAATTTAAGCAAATTTTAGAGTAGACGCACGTCACTGAGTTATGCGAATGATTTTAATATTGTTAAGAACTAATAATGCAAAAGAAACATTCAGAACATGAATGGACGCTGGCTGCTTTAAAACAAAATATCAATAAACACAGGCTGATTGATTGTTTTTACGTGTAAGCACTTGTTCATGATTGTTGACAGCAATTAGAAAATTTACTGCTTCCCACCAGCGGTGATGAGAGGAAATGCTATTTGAGCGGAAGTGTCACATCTTTCCTATAATCACCAGAACTCCTCCTGTGATTTGTGGTGATGGAGTTCCTTGAAAGATAATTTAGTTAAAGAGATGTGTCCTCCATGTCAATGCTGAAAGGCAGCATAGAGCAAAATGCAACCCGGATATCTCCAAAAATATTCTGTGCAGCAACTGAAAACTCGAAATTAACACTTAATTGCTTGAAAAGCAATGAAAGTTCTCTCGCTGAGCACATAATTTTGCAACTTCATTCTTGGAATGAAAATGTTTTTATCTGTCTTACAATTGTCCCTTTACTTGCCGCACACACACACACACACATATATATATATGGTATAGGCATATAATATTATATGGGTATATAATATATATATATATATATATATATTTAAATTTAAATTTTAACAAAACACGTATGAAAGTAAAAAAAGCAAATTTAAAGCCAAAATAAAGAAAAAAAGCCAAAAAAATTTTTTTTATATTAAAAAAAATGTGTAAACATATAAAAGATTTAATTCTCGAACTAATCTACAATATCATTTAAATTCAGGAGCATAAGCAAATCAAGTGCAAAACCAAACCATGAAAATAAATTCACTAATTTAGCAAATTAAATTAAAATTAGACCAAACAATTTTTTAAAATGCATAAGTGAATGACTGTTGAGTAGGCAGGAGGCAGACATATCAAGTGGAAGTTGCTTCCAAACCTAACTCTCCAATCATTCAATTCGTGTTTCGTCATTCATCCAGGCAAGGGTAAAAGTCAAAACCAAAAGTGTAAAAAGAAATACCAATAAAGTGGTACCCTTAGAAATTAACATTTAAGAATTAAAGTTCTAAAAGGAAAATACTAATGAAGTCTTTTGAGAAACAAGCAAGTAAAGTCAAGTATTAAATTAAACTTTTTTTTAAATGAAATTTTTTTTAAAATTTTTTATAAAAAATAAAAAATAATCTAGGAACTAATGTATTTTAGAAACCCTTGTCTACAGAAACCTCCCTGACACGAATATGCATATCAATAAAAGAAACTAAAAAAAAAAGAACTAGACATAATCCATATAAACCAATAAGAAACAAAAAGAACTAATTCACAATTTAAAAAAAAATAAACAAATATATATTTAAAAATATAATTTCCTATTTAGAAAATACTTAAATACTACATAAAAAATTTTTAAAAATACTTAAAGCAAGTAAATAGTAAGTTTTAATTCTAATGTATATATATATATGGTGTCAAATGTTAAACTAGATTTTTTCATGTATATTATTTCTCCATGACACGTACTGGATTTCATTCAAATCGATTGATTAGAGAAGCATATACTAAGCATATACTCTAAATACCATCAGTTTAACTATAAGTACTCAATTAAACATAGTGACATCGAGTAGTGGAATCACATATCAGTGCAGCATATATTATCATAATATTGTCCACTGTTGGTGCAAGAGTCTTTTGTCTCTATACTACAGGATCAATGATGGGCACTCTGCTGCTCATGCCTTTATTGCAACAGCATGCATACCAGTTTTTTTAAATACAATGGGTATATAGCGCAATTCATTACATCGAATTGGAACAAATAGGATTAAGGAAAATAAACAAATGTTAAAAAGTAAATCTTTTCTATTTAGTCATCTGCGTAAGCATTCTTAGTAAGTGATAGTTATAAAACAATCATTAGAAATGTCTCTCTCTATATATAAATGTGTTTAAATTGGAAATCTGAAGTAAATTCAATCTATTCATATGATCAGGTTGACTAATATTTCTTGTCCTCTTTTTACAGTAACTGGATAGGGAAAGAAAAATTTCAACGCTTTGTTCTTATACATAAACTTTTGCAACAGGAAGTAAATTCATTGACTTAAAATGTTACAACAAAATGCGGTCAAAGTTACAAAAATAATAACTGACGCCAACATTCTCGGAAATAGGTAAAAGAAAAGATTGCCTTACGCTTGCAAGTATCACCATCAAGAACAAATCCCGGAGGACAGAAGCATTCCAAAGTATTGTCTGACGTTTCTCTGCAAGTTCCACCCTTGCAGCTACTCTTAGTGCATCCATCTGCAAATAAGAAACGTTAGGCGAAATATCACGATTCATTCTTTAAATGATTTATAACACTATGCGCCTAAGATCCAGTTGCTATCAATTGAAACGCCTATTGTCTACACTTGTTACTATATTAATCAACCTTCCTCCAGTTTCTCTCCTTATTATTATATCTTCTATTCAAATCCTAATTGCAGGACACTTAGCAAGTTAAGAAGAAGATGCTGCCCGATTTTTGCATTATGCGTACATTGAATTATTGGCATGTATGTAGCATGTATGAAACTAGGAACTGCTTCGTAGATGTTAATGAATGGTACAAATTATTATGAAGGAGAATATTTATTCTTATGTTTGAATTCGGTATTATTTCGAAATCATTCACTGCACATATTCGTCGAGTCAAGAAGACCCGTCGAGTTAAGCCTAATTTTATATGTTGTTTAGCTTTACAAGCTAGTTCCCACTACCAAGATTTTTGCTAGAATTTCTCAATTACATTTCCTAACAACTTCAGTTCTTTTCAAAATAGTTGATTTTACTCGTATTGTTCTACTAATGTAGCTGGAAAAATTAATAGACATAGCCAATTATTGCTAAATGAACCAAGATAAATGCTTTCATACCATAAGTGTTACCACAGAACATATGGGCTAGAGAACAAGTACAGCATTGTAAACATACTCGGCGAATGAATCATATTCATAACTTCATTGTAAGCGGCTCTTCTCTGTAAGCATTCTAATGTTTAAAGTATTAATTCTTCATAAAAATTAATACTTTAAACATTATTTAATCATTCAAAAGATTCTACCTGCAAAAGCTCAACTCTGTATAGAAAGGAACTTTGGGAAGGTGAAGTTATCCTCTGCATTCACACTCGCATGAGATGCATATAAGTTCTCTTACAAAAAGAGCAATTTGAAACTATAGGTATACGATGCTTACAAAAGCAATTTTCTTATTATTATGAGATTAGAAATTAAAATTGATTAACTTAACGTGTTGTTCTTCCTAGGTCGAGCCAAGTGGAATTGAATGTCATCATAGTGGACAATTTTAATAGAGTGGGGGGAAAAATGAGATATCACTGGTGCGCAAAACTTCAGCAACTTTTTTGATGCTGCCCGTTATTCAGCAAAACATCAACAGGGAGACATAAATTCATACTACAGAAGCACGATGTACTACATAAAGGACGAGGAAAATAGTTGCATAAAATGAATAGGACACATACAGTACGGAGCGAATAGAAAACGGCTTTATTTACAGAATAATGTTGGTACAAAAAACTGTCCAGCTAAGATGATAACAAAACAAAGAGACTTTATAAAGATATAATCTTCCCTAACTGCAACAGTTGCATTATATCGTCTGTCAATAACAGATTACCTAATAGTTCTTGGGGTAAGTGTTCCCGTCGTTCAAGGAACATCTGTTTCAATTGTGTGGTGTTCTCCGTTCGTGCCGCTAGGGGTCTTCCTAAAGTATCCAACGAGATTGAAATCAGGGAAGCACGTTGCAAAATCCATTCTGTGGATATCATTAATTTCCACAATCTCCTCAACAACATGCGTCTCGTGGGATCGTGCATTGTGATGCATAAAAACAAAGCCGGGACCAACGGCACCCTGGAAAAGACAAAGGATAACTTCATCATGGTAATGATTCTCCGGTAATTGAACTTATGTCGAAAATGCGGAGTTCTGTCCGTCCATTTGCCACAATATTTTCCTATACAAGTACGCCAGGACCACCTCAATGGTCTCTTTCCCTGATGTTCGTGGGAAGGGTGTCTGTAACTCTCTCCATATTAACTGGTGCGGAAAATCATGTATCAGACGGAAACAAATCTCATCGCTAAAGATGGCGTAATTCCATTAAAGAGGTGTCTAGTCTTTATGTTCTATACACCACCGCAAATAGGGCCGCTAACAGGCTGGTGTCAATGGTATGCAGCGTTCAAGCGAGCGAATAAGGCAACCTTTATGAATTCCTCTATGAACCTTTATGAACTGGTACAATTGTCTTTCCGTTTCTGTGTGTTACTGTCCATAGTAATGCTGCCTACTGACTTGTTTAGATCTCTTTTCGCTTGCAGAGCGATGTATCAGTCGTCAGTCACCGTTGACCTTTCTCACAATTGTACCTGTCGTTTGGAAAGCTTCCTAAAGCTCATGAGAAAACACTTTTATCAGCTCCAAGTGCTTGGGTGACATACGTTAAACTATGCCTTCCTCAAGCTTGCCAATCCTTCTACCATGTGCATAAGGCTTCCAAATGTTTTCCTGGTTCCTCCTTGATGTTTAGTCATACTGCACGAACAATCTTACTATTCCTTGCCCACGCGCTGACTCCTTGCGTTTTGCGTGTCCCGAAGTACCCTCGGACGTCATGGCGTTGATTAGTTGTATAACTTTCTAGTGAGTTGGGTTTTCATTGTACTGATCGCAAAAAAAAATCCCTTTTTGACAATTTCATGTTTATATTGCTGAAAAATGAATTTTTTGTTTAAGTCTCGAGCACTAGTGTATATAAATATGCAAAAAATTAATAAGATAGCATGAAAATTACATGCATAGATTCTGCAATGCTTCATAACAACGGCTAAGTTAACGTAATCATCCTTATCAATGATATTAATCTCATGTTAGAGTACTGGCATGATTTACGCATATGATTACGCATAGTTTGAAATACAGCACTATCATACATATTATAGGCATTTATTTCGTCTCAGGATATATATGTATATATAAAGGATTTTCTATAAAATCTGTAAATATTTTTAAAAACTCATAAAAATTGAAAGAATTAGTAGAACTGATTTAAAAACTCATAAATTTGAAAGAATTAGTAGAACTGAAAGAGAAAAAAATTATTCTCATGACGGGGGATTTATTTTTGGTAAAGGCAAAATTAGTTAAAATTTTCGTCGATAGTACAAATGACACATTTCAAGGAAAACTATATTTATTTCCATTCAGGAAAATGTTTAAAGCATATCAGTCTGATTCTGTGTGTCCGCCATCACTACAGATTACAGTTTGCAAACGAGTTACAACACCGTTAACTGCAGCACGTAGCATATCCGAATAAATGCAAGAGATTTCGTGATGAATGGCGTCCCTTAACTGCACCGAAGAAGATTGGGGGTCCTGCAACAAGCTGACCACTTGTCTAGGGTATATGTTAATGCATCCCAGGGCCCAAGCCAAGAAAGCAGATATCAGGGCACTGCAGGCCATGGTTCACTAAGGGTTGCTGCTCTATTGAGTTTACATGAGCTATGACACAATATTTATGATAAATAAAGGAAAACATAATCATACAAAATACATAAAATTAGATAAATGGTGCGTAGGGAGTATTATACATTTATAATTATTTATTTATTAGATAGACACATTTCCTAAAATGGAGTATTTACTATGGATGAGAAATTCTTCCATATATGTAAGTACAGTAATTAATGGTTGTTTCAGTTCTAAGCTGTACAACTTTACTGGACAACGTATTCTCTGCCCAAACCGTCCAGCGTTCAGGAGCAAGTAATTTTAAATGGGGATCCCAAATAATTACTACAGTAAAGAGTTCCATGTACACAGATTTTTACTATATAACCAAATTTTAAACTATTTTTCTAATCAATAAAATAATTCAAATCACCTCTTTTGCAAAATTCCCCAATAAGTGTAAAGCCTTCCGGACAAGTGCATATTTCCTCATCTTCAACCACTTTGCAAATTCCGCCGTAGCAAGCTTTATCAACACAGTATCTTTCTGGAAAGAAACAAGAAAAATCTATCCATAAAATGCTCAAACGAAACTGACTGCTTCCTGAATAAAAGCAAAGTGGCTAAAGTAATTAGTTAGAACGACATAGTTTTATTTTCTAATGGCACATTAATTGATGCAAGAGTGTTTAAAAATAATTATCAACTGTGATAATTATTTATAAACACTGTTGATTATTTTGTAATAAGACCGGACTCAAAACGTACATTGTATTTGACCATTTTAAATTGAGAAGATTTTCTTGAGCGGTGCACTGCAGTATGATGCAAAAACATCACATTATTCTGCATATTAAAAAGGTTAAAATTAGGAACTCATTGCGAGCACAGTTTAAAACAATAAAAATAAACTGGGACAATGGAATTAGCATTGTCTTTCAAGATGATAAATTCCTTTAATGTTTCATAGGCATTCTCTCTTGGTTTTCTATGATTTATTCAATAATATTTAGTACCATGTCTTCTGTGGTTGATATTGATGATCTTCCCTGCTTATTACCACTAATAAAGTTTGTGTGTCCGTGTTTGAATTGCTGGCACCATATGCTAAAGACTGGACGTGACTTTGTCCCAAACATTATCTTAATTTCATACTGAATTTTCATAATATTCGGAACTTTTCTTCGAAACAATTCTACTACTTCTCGCAACTCAACCTTGGAGTAACTATGCAGTTGACACAACTTTTTGCTTACGTGCTAGAATGTACTTCTTGTAGGTACCGCAGTGAAATTATATCCGTACGAAAGTGTGGCAGATATTTTTCTGTTCTGTACATGTGACGCTTCTCTTAACGCAATTTTAACAGGTCTTGGTAACAATTGCAACTTACGTTTTGTGTGTCGTGTATAACTTGACCTTTCTTGAAATTATTTTTTTAAAAATTTGAATCGCATTCGATATTTGACAAATGAAAAAAAAATGAAAAGCAGTTTTAATGGAATCCAAGAAAACACTAAATCTGGTTCGTCAGTAAATTTAATTTTTTCCTGCATTCTACGAATTCTATGTGGAGTATCACTATTTATGAAAAATAAATTCATAGGTATTAAAACTAAACATATAGGCCACTGGCTTGATGCAATGAATCAAAATAAGAGTGACATCCACTAAAAATTGATATTGTTGTGAATAAAGCTGCCTTTATTCAAATGTGAGAAAAATAGTGAAAGAATAAACTGCAAAAATTTCAAAGAATTAAGAGAAAACAAAATCCTTGGAAAATATATTATGCACCATATCCAGTGTCGCATGTGAGCTATGCTCAAAATATGAGAAGTTGAAAAACTGATGCTATATGTATTTTATCAAAACGTCATCGACGAAGAAAGCGCTTTTTTCTATTAAAGTATGCATAAAAACAAAGACCCTCAAAATATTATTCTATGGGGATGGTGGAGCCTGACTGTATGAAGATAAAAATAAAAGCGATAGTTGAAAGAGTTCTATCGAAATCATCTATAACGTATAATGTTTAATATACCTCCCGTTTTTTATTTATTAGTTTCCCATCTTAGATATTAGAAAGAACATATGTCCTAGGTTTCGAAAACTCGAAGAAAAATTGAGGATTGAATCACGAAAGAAAAAAAAAACGAGGTTATTTATTTGAAAGTTTCTTCCTCTTATTCAGTTGATGGAAAAGTGATACATGGGCCTGGCTAGAAAAGACAAGATGATTAAATATACATCTTGCACGCAAGAAAAAGGACAGTTTTATATTTCCCGTTCTACTGGGCCGATTGATAAAATTTAACTTGCGCTTTTGATGTATCGAAAGCGCGGCTTAGAATATACAGGGTGATCTTTTTTAAAGTGACAGTGTTTGGAGCGCCCTGTAGCGCGATCTACTAGCCGAAATGGCACCAAACTTGGTATTTAAACTAATCAAGACATACAGTCGTACAGTTAAATTATTAATGTTTATTTACTACATTAACTTCCTCGGTGAGGAATTAGATCACATTCAATGTGAGCACCGTTCTCAGAAATAACACCGTGCATTCTGTGCACAACGTTCTCCACAGCCGTATGTAACATATCACGAGGAATATTCCGCACTGTGTTTGTTATGTTGTCCTTTAGAATAGCTAAATCTGATACTCCACCAACTTAAACTTGAGATTTCAAATAACCCCAGAGCCAAAAATCGACATCGCGTGAGGTCAGGGGAACGAGACGACCATGCAACTGGAAAACTGCGACTTATGACTCTATCATCAGTGAAGTTTTGGCGAAACAGCTGCTTTACCTTATTCCTAATGTGTGGCGTAGCACCATCCTGCATAAAGATTGTCTGTTGGAGACGGTTCTTTTGCTGAAGTTGTGGAATAACAAACGTTTGCAGCATTTCGCGGTGCCTTTCTGCATTTAAAGTGCACATTTGTGGTCCTGTCGAAGCGATGGTCTCAAAAATGAATGGCCCAATTATGAATTCGGCTCTGAAACCACACCAAACAGTGACTTTTGGAGGAATTTAATGGCATTTGGTGCACGGTTGTGGGGCTGCTCAGAAGCTCAAATTCGGGTATTTTGTGTGTTTACGGACCCATTGAGATAAGAATGGCACTCATCTCCCCACAGAAAGTGCCATGGGAAAGCATCATCAATTTCTAACCTGGCAAGAAACGATAGAGCGAATGTCAAGCCCTTAACATAATCACTTGGTTTCAGTTTGTGCAAGCGGCCGATTTTGTAGCGGGTAAAATCCAATAACGCGCCGCAAAAACTCTCCATGTCATGGAATAATTCATGTCCTATTGTCGAGCTTCACCCCGGGCGCTGCTAGTACCAGCAATGGTTCCCTGCGACCCTTCAACAATTGCAGTTACCACATCAGTTATTACATCTTCTGATACTGGTTTGCGTCCTCTCCCAGCGCGAATGGTCAGTAACCCCGTTTCCTCGAAGTTCTTAATCGTTTTCTTAAGACGATTCAGCGATAAAGGCCCCTTTCGTAAATTTTTTCTAGTTCGAAAATCCCGAAGAGCTGCGGATACATTACATTGATTCATGTAATACAGCTTCACCAGTAATGCACGTTCCGGTAACGTGAGAGGCATGTCTAGAGGCATGTCTAGGCATGAGCTCGTTTACTTCAGCTGAGATTATTTATCGGAGCTGTCTACTACTTGCTTTTATAGGCCCTATTATAGGCGCTGTCATCGCACAACATTTGCATTTTTCTTTAATACCCGTGTTTTATGCTAATTCTCGCTATTGTAAGCTACAGCAGCGCCACAAAATGCCCTATCGGCGATTTTTTGGAACTAAATTGTTTTTTCACGGAATCCTTTTTCCCATGTCTTGATTAGTCTAAATACCAAGTTTGGTGCCATTTTGGCTATTAGATCGTGCTACAGGGCGCTCCAAACACTGTCACTTTAAAAAAGACCACACTGTACATTAGATTTATCTATAGCAATTGTTCTAACATATGTATTCTGACACAAAATCGGACTCTTTCAATGTTTTTCCCATATTTTGGTTCTACTACGACTCAAATTATGCCAAAGTGTCAAGTTTTATAAAAATCGCACAAGTAGTTTTTAAAACATTTAGTTTCAACCCAAATAAAATTCGCTGATATTTTATAATTTCTTTTTTAAATTTGTATTTTTATAAATTTTTCGAAATTTTTTTTTAAATTATAAATACTTATCATCACCATAAAGATGTATTTCTAGGTGTACACGGAAAACATTAGAACGTTTTATTCAAAATTGCTAAAAATATACGTGAATTTATATATTGAGGCGTTTTGTAATTTGGTATATTTATTATAAGTGATAATAACTCAAATGTGCTTTACGCACTTTGTTAAATTATTTAAAAGCGTGAAAGATACACCTTTTTTTCCTCACTCCTGCACAGTGAATAAAGGGAGAAGAAAATAGTTTACTAAAAATTAAGAATTTTGCCTAAGTGAATTCTTCTTGGCTCATAGTGGGGGAAAAGGCTCCAAGATAAATTTTTAAATTTCTGAGTAAGTTTCTCACCAAATTTTGCATTTAATATTTGGGCATAATTTGAATCGTAGAATAGAAATTTGAAAAAAAAAAGTCGGTATGTTATTTTAAGAAAAGTCCTATTTTGAGTCAGATTACTTATGTTAGAAGAATGCTATACATAAATCTAATATATATTCTAAGTCGCGCTTTCGAGACATGTAAAGAGGTTATCACACATGGCTACAGTCCCTGCTAGACGGGACTTTTCTGAGAAACGATATTCTGGTAGCACTGGTTTAAACTGGAGGATTCCTAGAAAAAGAGCCCCACCTAAAGCGAAGTCCCGCCTAGCTACGGAAGCAATGTTGCGGCTACGCGGGATTTTTTCAAACCTCTCTGAAAATGTCTCGAGTCCCGAGTACAGACAACCAATCAGACGAAAATTCTGCTTCCGAAGGATCACGTGATCCCGATTTGAGCGATAATAGATTACTGTTTAGCCTTCAAGTCTTTGTAGTAAGTGAGAATGGTAACCTAACTAAGTGTGTTTGCTGGAATTCTGCGGGTTCTGAGAATTCTCCCTTTCGACGTCAAGTCCCGCGTAGTCGAAACATAATGTGATTGGGATCTAAAACGCAAGTTAAATTTCGCCTATCGGGCTAGTAGAACGGAAGATATAGAATTGTCACCCCTCCCCCCGTTTTTTAGCAAGGTGTACATCAATATTCGTTTTTTCTTTTCCACTTTAATAAAGGCGACTTTTGAAAATAAAACTTTAGAGATTATATTCAGACTAGCATGAAAATATTGTTGCAAATTAAAAAAAAAAAACCCTCTATTTATAAATAAAATTAAAGTTACTTTAAGGACATACATTACCCTATTTAGGTTACTTACTCGTACATGTTCCGTTTTCCAGAGAGTATCCGGCAGGACAGATACAATATTCCCTGCCATCATAAACTCTGCATTTTCCTCCCCAGCATTCAGTTTCAATACAAGAATCTGAAGTAATAAAACATATATTAAAAGTATAATTTCTATAAAAACGTATTTATGTATTTACGATACGTATTTACAGTTAATACGTATACAAGGATATTTTGCATTTCGTCTTATTATAAGACTTATTTTCCACGAACCTCGAATTTATGAATTGCTTGTTTTTATGAACTACTGATTTGGTTCCGAAGGGTATCGTATAAAATTCATTCCGCTTAGATTTATCACCTAAATTAACACATTTTCCTTTTTAATGAGTATCAGCGCTTTCTCTCTTTATTCTCTTTGAGCGTCGGAATTAGGGTGGGGTAAGATCAAACTCTCTTAAATTAAGTCAATGATAAAATTTCCTTAGACCTGCGGATCTCCTGCGCTGGTAACAGAGACAAAACTCTTTCTGTGTGACAACACATTTCTTATGATTCGATATGTTTGCTTTGAAGGCATCGAAGAAATGGAGTTATAATCAAAGAATGTAACTTTTTAAATATCTCTATGAAATAAACAAGTACAGAAGGTGGTAGCTGTACGATAGCTTTAGAACGACTTTTGGGCTGTTTAATTAATATTTAAAATATAAATAGTATTATTTATATATTTGATATGATAATCTTTTTGTTCTGCGCTATAAGTCTGCATCGTGATTTCTGTGATAGAAGAACATTTCGTAAAATTACCATCGCTATTGATTTCCATTACTCTTCTACTGTTTCCACAATTCATCGATGTTGGTGGGTTTGGCCTTAGAAAAACCTCTTTTCAAGAGATCAAAGGCATAACAGTCCATGGGTGAAAATCAGAGGACTTCTTCGTAGGAATACGTTGAAAAGTAATATATGAATATTTGCTTTTTCAGCATGTCAATCTTCATTTTTGCAAGGAATGTAGCGGTTTTAAGTATGACTTGTTGCTCTGTCTTGATAAAGTTTCACTCTTTCAAAGTCGTTAGGATAAAGAAATGGAATTTCTTCTGTAAATATCGGACTGAAAATTTTCTCTTGGTAGTACGTTGAGTTTATTTTAACATTTTCCCCACTCTATTTAATTTTTATTTCCCATTGTAAAAGAATCCTGCGACAATATTAAACCTTTTAATAAAACTTTTTTTTCATTGACGGAGCCAGGTTTGCATATTTTTTTTTTCGTTTTCAATAGCAAATAGATCTTTCTTTCAGTCAATTAGGTAAACTCATGCTCCATCAAAGGGTTACGATGTATTTCAGTTTATCTTCTTACTTCCATTTAGTTACCATATTCCGAGTTTCATTTAATCTTCTTTTCATGTAGAAGTAATCATTAGTGACTTTTCCCTTTCCGGTTAATAATGTTGCTTATTTTCCACTTAGAAATTTGAATACCTTGCATTACAGGTTTTTGTGTTATGAAACAGGAATAATTTTCTTCGGAAAGCGTAAAAACCTATTCTTTAATCCACAGCTTGTTTACAAGTGACATTTTGAAAGAAGAATAAAGTTAACATTAGCAGACGATATTTCTAATTTCATATAATAACATGCTGCCAAAATTTTTATTCCAAAACACTTGGTTTTTTTTCAATTCCTTATCGAAATCGTTCAAAAAATGAGTAAACACCCTGTGTACAAGGCCGTCCTATAGGCGTAGAACACTGTCATTTGTACTGTAAAACAATTCAGATATCTATATTTTCACACATTTCAATAATTTAAAGTTAGTACATTATTCACATTTTCGTTAATAAGTTTTTACGTTTTTAACTGCGTTGAGTGAAACGAAAAGAGTTTAAAAAAATGTGAAAGAATTGGATAAGTTTATCTAGACTAAGGCTGCAATCGCCAAAACTGTTTGTTTCCAAAGAATTCACTATGTACACTTATCAATACCTTACAGGAGATTTCTGCTATGAGCCAGGAAGTGCTGTTTCCGAAGGTAGACGAATTTCTAGCTAATAATTCGAGATATAAAAACAAAAATATCCCATCAACAGCCAACTCCTGAGGGGAAGAGGAGTTCCTTTTTACTTCCTTGTACGAAGTAAAAAGGAAGTATTGTTTTATTTAATAATGGGCATGAAAATGTTCAAGAGATTATATAAATGTTTGTCAAAATTCAAGTTGCGAAATGGGTTGAATTTCCATAATCTTAACAGAAAAGATCAAATTGGTATGTTTATCTCTACAACTCTTGAACAGTCTCTACTTTCTGAATACTAGTTTCCCCCAAGGAATGCAAAGGTACCTTCAGTAAAAATGATTTTTAAAAAATTGCCGGTAAAGGACGCAGGAGTGGTCAAAGAACTAAGCAAATTTTTGAAATCTTAATTGGAGTTAAGATTTTAGATTAAATAAAGTTCTTACTTTCATTCATCGGAAAATGCAAAAAGCCAAGAAACATTCTTATCTCTACCCATTACGTTAATAAGATGGACCAATATTTTTTAGAAAAGTAATCTTATATCCATTCAGATTATCATCGGCGAGCCGAGAGCATTGGGCGAGCCGAGAGGGTTAAAATAATTTTTCGAATAACGATTATTGGAGAAGTTAAACAACCAGAAATCAACAACAAACATTACGCTGATTCTTGTTGTTTATCTTCTCCAATAATAATTGCTTAAAAGCTGAGGCACTGTTATGCATATGAACCGTTTTAACTTTATTTCACTCCTCATTTAATAAATTGATCGAAATACCAAATTTAAAGGATTACTTTCGTAACAGTGATTTGACATAGACCTAATGGCAACTTTGTAAAGATTCCTTGTTTCAAGTTGAAAAGGCAGGTAACTTTATGCTGGACTGCAGTTCTGCCGTTAGGAAGCCTTCAAGTGGATGCCGAGACCGTTATGCACTTCTTGTTCGAGAGATGATAGTGTGGAAAACGTACATGTTCCTGATATTTCACTATAACAGATCCGATCTGAAATTGCGTAAGTTCGCTTTATTTATAAATGCTTTATAATGTCGTTAAATTTTGCTGAAAGACCATAATCGTCGATACTAACGTAAGATCGCAGTTCCTTACTTATAGAGTTAAATATTCTAATTGCATTACTAAATAACTGATACTTCCAATCTATTTCTACGCTCTAATTTTTACTTAGCATAATTAAAAATTATCATAATTATTAGGGTATTATTTCAGTTATTGCACTAGCCAGAAACTATTAGTTCATTGTTTTCCTCATCTTTGAAAAGTTTACTGGATATGTCGACCACTGGAAAGTGCATTTTAGCCTAATAAGTTCAGTTGACAAAGCTATTAAACTATATTCGTGAGAGGCCAAGCATGTGTTTACATACTTCTAGAACTATTTTTTCGTAAAAAGAACTGACGTACATATCTTCTTTTTCAGTTGCATTACAGCCTATTACAGGCCACGGCCGTCTCAATGAACTTCCTGGATCGGATCCGATCAGTCGCTATGGTCACCCAACGAATGATTTTTAAAGTCTTTTAAAGTCCAGCACAGTTTATCCATCTTGTGTAAGGTCTTTCTCCTTTCCTGGTGCCCTCTACACTTGCAAAAATCACCTTTTTAACAAGGTTCAAGTTGTCACATCTAAAAATACGTCCAAGCCATCTGATGCGATAAAATTTGGTAACTCGTACTATATTAGGCTGTTTGTATCTTCTATACATTTAATGGTCAAGCAAAATTCTTCATCTATTACTTTCACTAATTAGATCATATATTTTTCGGAATATTTTTCTTTCAAAGATTATAACTCTTTTTTCATCTGTTTTTGTAAATGACCAGCATTCGCTATTATACAGTATGAGAGGTGAGTTGTATAAAGATTTATTTTTGTCTTGAAGTTTAATAATTTAGACATTGATACATTCTTTATACCATGATAAGATTCGTATTGGTACCATCCGTATAGGTATGGGACTTCGTTAAATTTATATTAGCTATATATTGCTTTAAGTAATGTTTAAATAAAAATGTATATTTAAGTCTGAAATTTTTACAAATTCTAATTTCTATTTCGGAACTATTTCGGAAGAGTATTTGATTGCATTCGCGGGAGCTCTGGGCGGAGATTTCATCAAGAAACGAAATTAGAAAATGAGTGCTAGTTATTAACAGAATAGCACCCTCCTTTCATATATATAAACAAATAAGAGTATTGTAGCTTTTAATTTCGTATAAAAATATTGATTCATTTGCTTTGAGAAATTCAAACTGTTTTTAAAGACGAAAATTTAGTTCCCTACAATACCATAGGTCTAACAAGAGTTGTATAAAGATTTATTTTTGTCTTGAAGTTTAAATAATTTAGACATTAATACATTCTTTAAATACCATGACAACATTTAATAACTCCAAATAATTCTATTGTCAATTTCAAGTTTAATGTTCTTATCATTCCTGACGCACGTATGCCTAATGTTATGGAGGAGGATAGTTTGGAAATTTTATTTAGTGAAATCGGTACAGATAACTTTTGTTTGCTTTATCTGTATTATTTTACAGAAACTGAAAGAAAATTAATTGCTTCATCTCCCATCGATTTACCGAAGCTTTCGAAAGAAGCTTCAATAAATCGGCAGGATGCTTGGTAAACAGCAAACGAAATTAATATAATGAAGCAAGATAATCTGTTAGTTATTCCACAAGCGACAAGTGAAAAATTCTGAATTCAAGGCGTTTATTCAAATGTAAAAAATCTGCGACATAAATTTCAGAGACTATTTTTTAGAATGAACTACAAACAGAGAATGTCGCATTATACAGTGTAAGAATGGGAAGTATCTTACTTATTTCGCAATGTCTGCCAGTATATGGATCATCACAGTGACAAAAGAAACCGTGATTTGTGACTTCGCATTCCCCATGAACACATGGATTTGGATCGCAAGGATCTTTCTCTGAAAAAAATGAATGGATAACAATAAACAAAAAAATAAAGAAGGAAAAGAAAATCTACAGTGTTGCCACTGCTCGGTTTAAAATTGTTGAGTTTTTTAATCAAAAATTCGTTAAAGTTTTACAAAATATGAAATAGATAATGAAACAAATTCCAAATTTGGATTTCCAGCTTCTCGTATTCGGGTGGAGGACTACATTATTCAAAATTTGGTGGCTACCATTGTACCGTTGCTTTTTCAAAATGCGAGAAACATACATACATTCATGCAGACTATTCATTATTTAATTTCTTTAAATATAATACAAGGCGATAATATTTAGTGGCCGCAATTTGAAAATTGATTCAACGCTTTTAGTAGTTCGATACAAAATGCGGTTTCAATACTACCATTTGGACTAAAAATATAATCTGAAACCTTCAGATTGCAACACGTTGAAACATTCACCATCAAAATATCATAAGATTAAAAATATTTAATAAATTTTAAAATATAAAAATCATAAGATTAAAAAAACTGCAATCTAATCTTGGTAAACGAAATTTTACTTTAATATCTGAAAATAAAGTTTAACATCTGAAAGTAATTTAACATTTTAAAGCGAAGCACCTGCGATGATATGTCCACTAGCTGAAGAACTATCTACTTGAAATTAAAATTTTTAACATAAAATCGTATGTTTGAAATGATCTGTTTGAAAGAGCAAAATAATCAATAGTAAAAAAGTGGGTGCTTACGTACTATCGTAACCACCTTAGTACAAGTAGCCAAAGTTTTAGAAAATTCAGGCAAATTGTTTCACTTTCCAAACTCTGGCAACCATGCTCATAACAATCGTTTCAGTTAAGCAACGTCGCCATTTTCATATGCCTTCTATTTTTTGTTATACTCCAACAATCTTTATAGATAAATTGTGATAGATATTTTTTGCCTTAGTTTTAAAATATGAGCTTGTGGAATTCGCCATCAATGGAAGAAACTGCAGTAAAATTTCCGCAGTCATACATAATTTTGCTGAAAATTCTCTAAAGGGAACAACAAAGAAATGCGTTTTCTGTATAGCCGCTGTTGCCGGAGATTGCATGCAGCCGAGTCTCTGCAATTCTCTGATATTTTTTTAAGTGAAAACAGATCGCTGTACACTTCGTGAGAAGAAAAAAAAAACGAAAAAAAAAAAAAGATTGGAAGAAGAATATGTGTTTTTGTGCATATTTATGATGTTTTGAATCATTTTTATTTATTTATTTATTTTGCATTCTGGCCTCTGGAGTCATTTTAGGTGAGTTACTCAATGTGTTTCAAGTGTTCCTTGTATCTGGAACTACGTTGTAGAGATTACTCTGTGAGGAATATCGGTTATTTGCAACGTTTCTCAAGTGTTAAGGCAACGTTTACTCAACGCAACGTTTCTCAAGTGTTCTCAAGTGTCTTATTTGTGTTATCTCTGCATCCTGTTTTACTCACTTACAGCCATTATTTTGTTGTGTACTGTTATTATTGCAATTAATTTTCGTTTTCATCCTAGTTATTTAGAGTAACAGTTAAAGTGATTTCTAAAAACGCCTGTTTGCAACAGTATGTATCCACTTAAATTTTAAATTACATTTATATTTTTTCAATTTTAAAACGCATCTCTTAATTCTCATGCGTTGCTTTCAAAACATTGAAAAGAAAGAGCTTCTTCTTGTATCACATCTTCAATTCTCCCTCGCATGGAGAACTCTCATCTTCGGACTTCATCATATATCACCCCAGTCGGGATTCTCTGAAGATACTGACAAGAGCAGGAACGAATCATCCTGCTGAATGCCAGGAAAAACACCAAAGTATCAAAGTTAACTCTTAATTTGAATAACAAACCCGAAAAGATACCTAGGTCCTATGCAAATAAAATAAATGAAATAAAAAACTAAAACCTTACTTGGCAAATGTTTTTATAATAGATTTTCATTTATTAACATCACCCACCAGCGGCCGGTCGTTGAACATTGATTGTTTGTTCCGGGTTCGAATTCCGGCGAACGGGCTGGCTGCATGAACATTTTCGTAGTTTTTCCCATGTATATATATGCGAGCCAGTTTCCCTTAAGACCTCCAGGAAGGCACGCCACCTCTTAGGTAGGTAAACCCTCAGGTGGTTTGTCAAATAAACCAAACCAACCAACCATTTATTAACATTAAAACACTTCTTAAAATTAATAATTTGAAAAAATGATTATTTCAGAAAAGTGAATTAGATGGAAAAAAAAAATTAACTGTGATTTAAATACGCATCCGACTATTAGAGATGTTTATATGGCAGATAAGACATGTCCTGGAATCGAAAAAAATTTGTTAAACTTAAAAAAAAAAAAAAAAAAAAAGAAGAAGAAGTAGAAGAAACAAACAAAAAAAACATTGCATATGCTGAAGATTGAGAAAATTAACAGTTTACATTTATCATTAAAAATAATGCTTGAAATTCTTAAGAAAAATAGACAGTTCGGGGCTAGAAACATAATAGGTATCCTTCTACGATTAGCTTAACAATCGGATGCAAGCATTGTAAGGATCTTAAGTTTTACTAACGTTTATTTTATTTTAAATCTTTACTATCACTTCTTATTTTCTACTTCCGGCCAGAATTATAAGCGTGAAGGTTTTTATGCAAAGTTTGTCTGGCGAACGCCAAGTACTTAAGTTGTGGCTTTTTGCCAAGCAAGGAAGAGAGGAAGCAGTAAGTCAACGCAGGCCGCTTACCTTAGAAGTTACGCAGTTGCTGTTCGCCTTCCAGGCCAGAGGTTTTAATCCTCTTGATAAATTAAACGTATTGTAGTGTTCACAGTCTCTGTGCTACATACGCTTCCTGTTATTATAAGGCCAATCTTCCACGTGTATTATTTTCTAAAGTTAAATTAGAGTTTAGTTTTATTTTATTACTTTTTTACGTTAGACCCCGAGTGGAGGGTCAGTGTATTCCGAAGTACGGAAGTTATTGTATATAGAGAAAAATAAAGGGTTTTGTATACCCTTCGTCTGTATCCTGTCTACTTACCACAATTAGTGAACATAGTTTTAGTAAGCTCTCTGTTCCGAGTCAGGTCCTTGTATGTTCCCGAAGAAGGTTAGAAAGAACATTGAACCTGATAGCATAACCGTTATATTCCGGTTGCAAATCAAAGATATGAATTCTTTGAAACTTAACGAATTTAATCATACGTAAAAACTGAGAACACTGCAGGTTCCCATTCATTATTTACAGCATATTATTTATTATATATTTAATCTTTACAATAGTTTTTAACTAAAACTTTATTTCAGAATGAATGATATCTCGCTTTGATGTTAAATTGAAATGATATATTTGAACAAATTATTTTATTATATTTCAGCGCTTTGAACTTTTGAGATAACACTGTTTGTTTCATAGCGCTTCCTCCTCTGTCAGTTAGGTTTGAAACTTCGACAAATATATTGCTATGCGGCTATTCTGAACAGAAAAGGGCAATATAAATAATGCGGTGAATTAAATCCGAGATAAAGGTGCGTATAAATGAGTGAAGTATAAATAGGGTTTGATTGCATGAGAAAGAAGAGAATTACACTCACAGGTTAAAATTGAAAAGCGAAGAAATTCTGTTAAACAGCGTTCTATTGAGTCTAGAAGTTTAAGTTCATATACGTACTTACTTTCACACTTTTCCATATCTCTCCATGTACTGATCTTTGCAAGTGCATAGTTTTTCTTCCTCTTTGAAATCACATCCTACAGAATTCTCTCCACAGTCGCAAACTAAGAAAAATTAAAATGTAGCAGTTATTAATTCCAAAACTGAATAAAGAATAAGTGAATATTTGTAACAGATTTGATATAAGAGCAGGAATTAATCGTTTCTTTACAGGGCAGATGAATTAACTGTAGCAGGGTTAAAACTGAAGGAACTTAAAATATATGAACTGTAGTCAAAGCGGAAAGAAATATTATCACATTTATTTTTAAATCTAGGAATATCAAAAATTGGAAAGACCTTGCACGTGAAGTTCGACGATCATATCAACCAAGTTTCAATTAAAACGCATAAAGAATATATAGCAGTTTACCCTCTACTTAAAAGAGACTCCCAGCTCAGTATTGGAAACAAAAAGTTAATCTATTTAAGCATGATCCATCGTGTTATCTTCTACGCTGCCCCAGCAGGGTCGGGACTTCAAATCGAAACAGGAAGAAATTGCAAGTAATTCAAAACAAATTTCTACGTATCATCGCTGATTCATCCTGGTTTCTTCGAAACATTATCCATGCCGACTTGAAGGTCAGGACAACAGGACAGTGGCGTAGCTAGGATTCTAGCGCCCGGGGACAACTGAAGAATTTGCGCCCCTTTCTGTGTGCCAAGAATGGAAAACATTTCATTAAAAAATTTCGTTGCATCAATTTGGCGCCGCCTGGATGCTGCGCCCGGGAACAGATGTCCCCCCTTTCCCCACCCTAGCTACGCCACTGCAACAGAATAGCTCTCAAGATTCTCCAAAAACTGTTTCAACTCCATGCCTCCATCTAACTTTGTGGAAATTTCAGAAATACTCAACTACGATCATACAGTTTTGCAGAAATTTAAAAGACCGTGCACTGTGTTTCACAACCCAGCTTGTAGCCCCAATATCTAACCTGCATTCGGTTTTGTAAATAATGTACATAGCTATTTATCCAAGACTTTTTTTTTTTACCCAAGACATTTTTCTTTTCGAACAGCATTTCCGAATTTCTTCAACGATTTGAAATTATTTCTCAAGATTTCTCATTTTCGAACAGAAAAAGTCCTAAGTGTCAAAATATTCTGCGTGCAACTCAACCTGGCCATAGTTTCTTCCGTGTCGCACTAATGGTCATGCAAGGCCCTTGCTGCTAAGTTCGTTAATGAGACTTGAAGATGGAATGTATATTACAATGAATTTTCGGAAAGCCCTGAATGTTAATTATGTGGCACACATTATTACCTCAAAACACCTTCGGTAGTTATATGTTGCCGACTTGAGTTTCGTAACTCGAGACACCGTTCTCAATCAGAAGCGTTTCTTGTTCAAACAATTTTTTCATGAAGTGAGGCATTCGTGATCCGAGATTTCACTGAAATATCGAAATAAACCGAAACCGATACGATTATTATATTTTATTCAAATATCTCGATGTTATTCTTGATGCTGATGTAAAATTTGACAAATATGAGGTTTGACATATATGAATACTCTCATAAGAATCAATGCTAGGCATGTCAACTTCGCAATCCTCGATTCGCTTTTCTGCGGCCCTCGGATTACTTAAAGAAAATAACAAAAAAAGTTGTGATTATAAAAGAGTAACAAGAGGGAGCCAGATTTTTATAAAACACTTGCGGAATAAATTTCAGCGTCTAAAGACTGAATTCGAAGAAATGTTTCGCGATATAAAACCTATCGCAGATGAGCTCTTCTGATTTCTGCCCCTTTTTCAAATGCCGTTGAGACAGTGCCAACCCATTTACAAATGAATCGATAGAAGTTCGATGTGACTCAACTCTACAGGAAAAATTCAATTAAGTGGACATTCTCGAATTTTACAAATACTTGCCTGCACAATTCCCAAATAGCCGCAGATTTACATCGTTTGTGATTTGCGTTGAGATGCTCAGTGACATATATGAGAGTGAATAACTTTTCTCACATATAAAAATGAACTAATCCTCAGCGGGATCCAGTTTTACAGACATTTATCTGATCTCTGTTCTGAAAATCGCTAGTTTTACCACTATGTCTCCAGACATCCGAAAGATGGTTGCAAGAAAAATGTGACAGGTTTCGGGAAAGAATCAATCTGTCTCATTCCATTATTTCTTTATGTTCTTTCCATTTTTTTAACAGCTTCATTATTAGATAAAGTTTAATGTGCTTACTAAATTTTTAAATACATTATTATGCACGAAGTTGTTTTTTCTTCTTGCGGCGATGCATTATTGTACACTGGTAACTACTCGGCCCATTAGAGATACTAAGTTTGGCACGTCTAATCTATGTAATTATGCCACAAAAGTAGAAGCTTTAATTAGAACCAAACATGCTTTATATCTCAATATAATCAAGTTATTCACAATCTATGGTGCTTCTGTATAAGCTGAAGGAGAATGCCACAGCAAGAATTTGCTGACCTTACATTTTTCAGGCATCGAAAAAACTCCGAATGACCCGAACGCTTGCCCAGTGGATTCAGATACGTTTAAACTCACTCATAATTTACATCCAGGCTTTAAACTTTCAGATTAATTCAAATGGAAGTTAAAACTGCCAGTGATAATTCTACTCTAGACTATTATAAAAAGTAAAAACGTTCTACAAAGCAGCTTTTATAATGGCAGATGGTAATCACAGTTCCCTCTCTTGACACATTATATGCTTTAATGTTATATGTTTTAAGACCCTGTCTCAAGGATTATGTTATACAAGTCACCAGAAAAACTTGCCGATGTTTAAAAAACAATAATTTATGATTTAGTAGTTTGAACTGTTGATGAGAAATATTATTACGTTGCGAATTTTTGTTACTTACCTACACAAATCGAATCCAGTTGGGCATATCCTTCCTTACAGATACATTTCTGTATTCCATTACTGAACCAACAATCTTTGCTATTTTCACCACAGTTGCACTCTAGCACATAAACAGATATATAGAAAATTACGTATAAATGCAACTAGCCGGTACATAAAAGAATATGCAAAACATTAACTAGATTTAATGAAAATATTGGATAAAAAGTGTATTTTAGGAAATCTTATCATAAATTTCGAAATTTATGGATTTTCTGTCTAATGTTTATACAGCTAATTCATCACATTTATCCTTTTTAGCAATAGTCTCTAAATGGTAAAAAATAATCAATTATATATATAAATTAAAAATAAAAGCAAGTAGTCATATATTCTTATGAATACAGTCATGTGATTTGTTACCATTTACACTTTTTCTGACTAATGTACATACTAAATTTGGAAATGAAACATCATAAATGCTCAAAATAAAATTTCGGTTTTTAACATGAGAGAATCTTAGGTTTATGAGAATCAAATTATTTCAAACTCAAAACATTGTAGCCATTATAGGTTAATGCATCGAATCTGAATAGACTATTTCTCTTTGTTACTAGTGCTGTCTTTATGTAGACTATGTCTCCCAGGTATTTTGGTGATTTGGAACTCTTATTTATGCCTCCTGTTCCCAGAAATACAATACATTTTCCCAAAATAAACCTCTATACTAGCGGGGTTCCAGGGAAGTACCCATAAAGCTCCATAGCACTGGTTTTCCTATTCCCTAACCATCGCTTCTGTGCTTAGGTAGAGATGCCGATTGTTGTCTCTTGAAATGTTATTACATGACTCATGAATCTAAAGATCCACTGTTAAAACTAAAAAAAGTTGAAAGCTTGCTGCCCAGGACAGATCATGAATGCGTAGCACGGGAGGTATATGACTCATGTTTATCTTACTGAAGTAAAGCATTTTATATATGATGCAGAATGGGTAGTACTGCGAGAAAAATTGCCTTAGACGCACCAACATACTTAATCATATATCATAACTTAAACTCTCTATTCAATTCAAGAAACACTCAAAAAACAAAACAAACAAAGTTATATAACGTTGCAGCGAGGTTGATGAAAACTGGCATCACACAGTTTTCAATAAGCATTAGTATGCTTAAATCACATTCACTTTTGAGGATTGAATAAAATAATCCGCCTTTTGTTTGTTCCATCAGTGAGTTATCCGCTAGATTAACACTACATTTGACTAGATTAAAGTAGATTTGATACTGAGCAATTCAACAATAGGAATCTTATAAGATACACATGCATCCTCTTCTCCTTTAGAATTTGAGTCCGGGCAATTGTTTTGCTTCTGTAATTAAATGGAGATTTTAGATTTTATTCCCAACATGATATCTGTCGTGTCCCGGGGAATGGGCTGGCTGCATGGGCGTTTTCGTGGTTTTCCCCATGTGTAACGTGGATGCGAGCCATTTTCCCTTAAAAAGACCTCCACGGGGCATCCCTCCCTTTCCGTGTAGTACCTAAGGGTAGGAACACGTAATAATAAAAAAAGGGGGGATGGCTATTTATTCAACTAAAGCTCTTTTTTATATATGGCTCCTCCGGGGGATTGACGGCGGAAAACCGGTGAAACTACTGGCTAGGATCTGTAAACAGCCTCGGCCACGGTGGTATATAATCTCTCTTCACAGGACTAGAACCTCCGTTCATTCGGAGGATGGTTCGGACTCGGCAGAGACCATATGGTACTGTCTTGTCTGCCCCTTGGCTGTGGAGGCGTTACATAGTTTGGTATCGAAGGCTGTGCTTGGGAGTTTGTCTCCCTTTGGTCAACACTGTGGGACAATCGATGTCTAACTATGTTCTTGGTTTTCTACAGTGAATGCGGGCCTTGCCGTCTATCATTGACTTCGTATGTATGTATGTTATGGCTGTGTGAAACAAAAATTGTCTCCCTGGGTTGACCGAGGGGTTAGTCCTCCTTGGATCACCTCTAGGTGATTGGGGCGTTTAACTGTGTTAAAGCAGCCTCGTGCTTTCTAGGTCTTGATGCCTCTTTCTCCTGCATTGTTTGTATATGGCCAGTTTCAGATTCTCCGCAAGATTCATTTCTCCCAAACAGATTTTCATAATCTTTCCTCTATTTTAAATCCTTTTCCACAACTTTCTTAACCACGCTTACCCGTGTCTTATTCTTCGGTTAACATTTCAAAACGCCGATACAGCTTCTATTCGGCATATTGTTCAAATTCCGCCAAATGAATAGAAGACATATGTATTCGTCACCTAGGCATAGATTTTCGAAAGATAACTGCAAACAGCGAATGACATCAAAGATATTTTCCTTCTTCAGAATTTTAGATTATCTAATTCACATCACTTGGTTGTGAGATTTGCTTAAGAGCATTAAAACTTGAATCAAGACATCTATTATTCTACTAGATTTCTCTAGTAAACTTAATTATTTTTTGTATTCCATTTTATAGTTTTCGTCAGTATATTTATTATTTTTATATTATCAGTCTCACATTTTGCAAACTGTTATTAAATATTTTCCCACATTTATTACTTTTATGATTTGTAAACTTATTATTGAATCTCTGCTTTTTAGCTTAATTTTATCTTTCAACTGATATGAATCAAAGCTTCATACTCCAATCTGCTTATCTTTCATAAATATGCACTTACTTCGACATTTTCCAATATTAGCATCGTAACTGTATCCAGTTAAGCAATTGCAGGCCTTCGCACCTTTAATGAAATGACATTCCGAGCCTTCGCCACAGTCACATTCTATGGAAATAAATATTGATATAAATTTTTAATTGCCATTCAATTAAGATCGAATTATAATATACTAAAGTACGGTTGATTGGCTAATTAAAAACGTTGGTAAAATAATTTTATCTTAAATAGTACAAACGTTTGGCGGATATGATAAAAGTATGGATTTTTGGATTATATAAATATATATAAATGACTCAAAATGAACAAATTGAATGCTGAATCAGCTTTCAAACGCATTGCTTCGTTAAGAAAATTAAAATGGTAATTTACGAAAAGTAATTTACTTTTCTCAATCTATAAAACTAAAATTTTCACCTGATTTAAAATTTAAATTTAAACCTCCATTTTCTCTCGAACATTTTTCATTTTAGGGTTCATCTGATCTATTGATATTGACTAAAACTGATAGACTGAAACTACTGATATTGACCAAAGCTTCATTTTCAAGAATCTTTTAAGAGGAAAACTGTTTTAAGAGCAGCCAGACAAATGTTTGAAGACTCAGACTTCGAAAACATTGCTAGAAACATAGAGCAACGTTGTAGAAATTGAATAATTGTTTTTCAGCATCGATTTCTGATTAGGGTTGCAACAGCAACTTCATTGTTAAGAATCTGAATAGTGGTTGCAGCCATCCTGAAAATTCGTAGAAAAGAAAATGGTATACCGAAGGCAATATCATTTAGCAAGAAAGCCAATGATTTACTGTTAGAATAAATTAGTATAACTTTTTCATAATGAAACTCGGCCACATCAAAAACAAACGAGCGCCAAACAACACACTGGTTGAAGAGGATTTTGATTTAGTTCAGATGCAGAAGTCTTAAAAATATTTTGTGATAACGTTGCACTTGTAGTTTATTCTTTTCAGCATGTTAGCTTATTTTATGGAATACACTCCGGATAATATTGCCTAATAGGTAATCCTGACGATATATTAAACTTATAAATGAGTATCTTGTAAGTTCTTTACTTTCAACACTTCGATTTAAATGTTTGTAAAGACTATTAACTTTGATTTGTATTCTATTTGTGTTCTATTTGAGTTAAGCAAACTCTCTAACTTGTTAAATAAAGATTTCGTAGTTATTTTAACTTATGATTCTTTAATAAAACTGTGCTAAATGGAGGATAGTGTACTTCAAAAGTCTTAACTGTATTAAATTCACGACATGTCATTTGCATTTCACAGATCTATCAATAAGAGGTCTACTTGAAATGGGAGGTGGCGAGGATGACTCTGAGTCTACAACGTTCGTTGTGTTCTTTCACACAAAAATAGTTAGATTTTTTTCCTTAAAAATTCTTCCAGCATTGAAGAAAGAAATTTAAATTGTCAGATGAAAAGATAATACAGTCAAAAGTCGTTAATCCGGACACCCATAATCCGGAATGATCTATAATCCGGACCTCAAAGCTACAAACTTACGTCAACGCATTACACATGCGCATATGCGTGTTAGCATGCGCATAATACGTTTACGCATGCGCGTTTAATGTATTACGGACGGTATAAGCTAAGCTAAAATTATCTAATTATCTATTTCAGTTAATGTTGCAGTTAATGCGTTGTTCCTTAATCTTCTAATTTTTTGCAGACTGTTAGAGCAATTTTGTAAAAGTAAGTTGGAACTTTCGATTATGTCAAATAGAATTTTCGATGCTGGAGCTGCCAAAGGATCTTCAAAGGGAAAGCATGTTTCGATGTCCATCAAACAAAAAGTGGAATTGCTGCAAAAAATGGATAACGGCTCCTTTGTTTCTCTAACCATTCCGAAATCTGTTTATCAATTTCACCCTGCTCTGGGGGGGGAACGTCGCGGCGGCGCAATGAACTGGAAGTTGATCTGTCAGCACTATCCTCATCTTCAGAGCAGATGTTTTTATTTTATTCGGCTTATAATTCCTTACTAAATGTAGTATTTCATCTCGATGTACTCCGTCTTTGATATGATTTAAATCAAATTCCTCGTCATTATAAATATCACGAATACAAATCAAATAGTTTTCTGGTTGCAATTTTCTAATTTCGGCTATGCGTAATGTATGCTTTACGCATGCGCGCGTTGAAAGAAATGTTTAATAAAGTAAACAAATAAATATTAAGCTTTTTTTGGTAAATTTTGATACCCTTTAGATCATAATTGCTCTTTATTTCATAAATTACGGTTTCATATTTTTAATTTTATAATTTTCTGCATGCCATCTTACCAGATTTAAACTGATGATCTATAATCCGGAATCGCCGAAGTCACGACGAGTCCGGATTAAAGATTTTTGACTGTATATATAATAATCTAAATTCAATTAAATGCATTTTGTCAGTCTACATCACCAAACATCGGTACATTTTGTCAGTTATTAGCATTAAAAAAGAGAGCAGTTAAATACCTCAGTGTATAAAAGTAATGATTTTATAATTAGGTATGTCATGTTTTTCAATCTTACCTGCACATTTTCCATAATTTTCTGCAAATCCTTTATCACAGATGCATTTTTTAGAATCACCTTCTATAACACACTTTGAATAAGGTCCACAGTCGCATTCTAAAAATATCAAAGCATTACGTTTACTACAAGAGCAATATGATAAGAATATAATTAATAATTTAAAAACGCATATTTCTTTGCTTTGTATGACAGTTATAAATCCGAGGCTTACGCAATGAATTAAGAGAGCAATTTAATTATTGGAGAATCTTCTTTTAGAATACAGGTGAAACTCCGATTTAACGTCTGTCAAAGGACTAAAGAATATTTCGACAATTCATTAATGGTTTTCCATTTTTCACAAACAACATTAGTGTATTTGACAGCATCAGTTTATATTGTGCAAAATCACAGAATAATGCCATGACAATCGTTTCCATTTCCATTGTTTTCTTGTTAATCCTATAGGTAATGTAATATTATTCATCCTCATCTTCTAATACCTGTTATCAAAGTTATTTGCACCGAAATTTAATGACATATTAAATCTCCCATTTAAACATGAATTTAGATTTCTTCCAGTGTTTTCCATAACTTTCTGATTTAACTGGGCTTCGAAGCGCAAATAACTCGATATTCAGATGATCGCCGTTCTTATATGATAAACAATCAGTTACTAAACGTTTAATTTGGATTTAGATAGTTAATTTCATAATGAAAGCTCATTTTGTTATTTTTAGTTTGAAAGTTGTAATGGTTTAAATTTTCCTAGTATTATTAACCTGTTTCACCTTATTACATTCAGTTGCTGAGAGTGATCAAATTAAGTTTAACAAGTCATGTTCAGTATTTTACAATATTTTTGTAAAACATAGCAAGGTATCATGGCGTCGGGATGTAAACTTAATATTTATAGAAATTAGCAAATCAGTTCGTAAACTCGAACGAAACCGAAAATTGGACCTTTTCCTTTCAGTGTAAGAAAGGTCCTAATTGGTAGGTAGAAAATTTCACATGTAAAATTATTTCTCGTTACCCGTTCATTTACTCTTCAGAATCAGTCAAGATGCTTATCATTGGCATTTGAAAGACGACTGTTAGTCGTCTCCAATATACTTTCTGTTAAGGCAACTGAGTGTTATCTCTCGAGCACCAGAAATCAAAGACAGTTTGCTGAAAGTTTTAGTTTCTTTTCTTGCTCTTTTTATGATAAGGAAACTTAAGTTCTGTTTCAACTTACCCACGCACTTTCCGTGGAGTTCAATGAAGCCATCATTGCAGTAACATACTTTACTTCCATCCTCATCAATTTTACAATTGCCATATTCTCCACAATCGCAAGCTGAAACAATTGTAGACATTATGGTTTTATGTATACGTTGGATATATTCTGAAAATCAATTCACAACTTATTTACTAATATAACGCATTCCATCAAAAACTAGGAACGTATTTGACTTTCATGCAAATTTTTTATTTACTTGCAGTAAAACAAAATTATGCTGTACATAGTCTAGAAAAGAATTTTTAACAAAGCGTTCCGTTTGAACAAACTCAAAGGAAACTTAAAATAAAATGTCACGTAAGCAGAAATCAAGTAACAACTTTCAGTATGCAAATGATAAATGGATGGTGTGGTGGTGTATTTAATTATGGCAAAGCACATTAGGGCTATCTGCCTAAGGGAAGGGATGCCTTCGTGGAGGACTTTCTAAGGGAAACTGGCTCGTATACACGTTACACATGGGGAAAACCACGAAAACACCCATGCAGCCAGCCCGTTCGCGGGATTCGAACCTCGGACCGAACTACCAGTGTTCAGCGACTTTACCCCTCGGCCGCTGGTGTGAATGATAAATGAGCGTTTATGATGCTGAATTAAAAAGGGTACTATTAAAAGGGTTAAAAAGCACAAAACTATGAGTCTGCTAGTCATTTTGAAAACGAAGTACTAAAGTGAATTGCTTACCATCGATATGTTTTCAAATTCGCGTGGCATTAGAGTTACCTACAAATCAGCGAATATTAAATGTTTTGTCTTTCCTACATTCTCGCGGATACGTATGTGTAGCAACCGCATCCGGGAATATCTGAGGTGTCGGAAATAGCATGATATCTTTTATGCTTAACGCGGCAAATATAAAGTGTTAAAGTATCAAAGCAAAGTGAACATCCGTCCTTTTAAGTAATATTTTGTTTAGAAGTACTTTTGTATATATGTGTGGGTGTATGCAACAGCTGTTCGAACTCAGTTTAATATGTCACGAGAGACTTCAAAATTGAGAAGCAGAACGTCCTTTATAAATTAATGTGAAATTTTTCCGATTAGCATATGTGAATATTGACGAGTGGGTTCATTGCAATCGTGCACTAACGTAGAGTAGACTAACCGTTATACCTTACAAGAAACCAAACTTTTCAATGTATCTTATAAGAGTGATCTCAAATTGCATGCGGGCCAGATATTAATTTTTCAGCCTATATGTATTTCAAATCATTCTAATATGCTGTATTAGCCACTAAAAACTTACTTAAACAAATGACGAAAATTTTCTATATGGGACAAAATTTGAGAACAAATAATGATAACCTATTATCTTCTTTCTATTTAATAATTTTTTCTAGATATATAAAGCATTTTCTCCGTCTTTTAAAAGTAATTTTGGCAATAGTTTAAAAAATGTATTGATAGTTCAGAAAAAAATTTAAATAAAAATTACGAAATTTTAAAAATAAGAAAAATGTAGTTTATGTTTTTCTTTAATACTACTGCTCAACCAAACATAGCTTCGTAAGATGAACATTTGATTCCTACGTGATATGCTTTGTTTTTCATTGCATGAAAAAAATTTAATTTCCTTTCGACCAATTTTCTGACTTATTTTTTTTCCATTCATGTTGCCAACATATTCTCAGCGTCTTGGTTTGCCCGTTCGACAAAACCTTGCGATTGGCTGTGTCTAGGTTTACCGTGAATTATTTTTATATCCCAATACATTTCACATAAACTATTTTTGATTTGGTTGCAAAATTCCCTTTCACTATTGGAGTGGAAATGTTCGGGGCTCCAAAAGTTGTGAAAATATCCAGGTGATATGCTACTTCATCAGCTATTTTACTGTAAAAAATTCGGAACAGGACGAATTCTGTAAGAAGCTGGTCTTGGTACACTAAAATGAATTTTCAACTTGATAATACTAAAATGAATTAGGTTGACATGGCATCGAGAATTCCTTTTGCTACGCACAGATGACCAATTAAAAAGATGATTTCATACATTGGTTTGACTATAATCCTCTTTTTCACAGGTTTCCTTTTTTTTTTTTTTTTTTTTTCTTTTCCTAACATTTTTTGCATAGTCTTAGATACGTGACGATCTTCCACCATGGCCAAATGCGATATGAGCGTCGTGTGAGACGCTGAAGACATCATTGGATTGTAAAATACAGGATTTCTGCTTTTACTGTAGATAGTGGCGCTACAAGTTTGCCTCTTCCACTATTTTACATGTCATGGTGTTTCAACCTTCTGCAATGAATTGTGTGTCTTTCCTTCACACATTTCGCTTCTTTCACTTCATTTATTAAAGAAGTTTATTTCTCATTTGTCCAATAAAATCTGCTAGCGTGCTTATTTTTTACAGATTCAGACAAAATGTCGTAAAAATATTTCTGTATAACATCACTCCTTTTCGTGTCACGTGGGTGGGTGACCACGTGACACTGACGCAGGCGAATTAGCATTCTCTGTCCTCTCTGTTACCGGATTAAGTCATCGTCACCAGCGTTCCCATTCGATGATTTTCAATCCCTTTGATTACTAGCACATTCTGCCTCACCGAAGACATGTACATCTCACTTTCAACTCGACAGTTCCTCACAGTATACCTTTCTCTGAGCACTACCCCTCTCCAGGCGTAGGCCTATTTTCTATACATCTGCAATTCACTCATTTGTAGTGTTTCTTGAGGTTTCCCCTTGCCGGGGTCACCTGAGGTGCTGGTAAGAGCGTGATGAAATTCACGCTGACACCAGCCTAACGCTCAGTATCAAAGTTTCAGGGGGGAGTAACTGGAGTTCCAACGCAGATGTTTCCTTGACATATGCAAGGTAATATTCGAGGTTTGCCTTGTTTGGTGAGTCGCCGCTCTTTAGCCAACGTAACGTTTAAGAATGAAATACACGAGGTTCAGTCAAGATTGCTAATCTGTGATTTCTTTGAGTTCTACTGAAAGTGCACAACCGCAAGTCCACATTACATTCCACTAAAGTCGGATCACACATATGTTTCTTGGCTCGTCGAGTACGGAGCTGTAGTGAAATTGGTGAGTCAGTGCATTTCTGTATTTTTATTATTAGATAATGGAATTTATAAAGCTTACAAGCGCGTAGCTAACTTAACTAAAAGCAAAAATTATCGTGAGTTACAATTCTAATCCATATTAATTAATGTAATGTCTAAAATTTCGGATATTTTTAGTAACATTTTTGTAGTTTGTGTAGAGAAAGATATTGATGCTTTTATTGAAGAACAATAAGATATGCGAGATACTGCTGATGAGTTATTTTTAGTACTAACCAGAGGCAAGATACTGTTCATGAGTTATTTTTAATACTAACCAGAGTTAATGTTAAGAATGTTAAAGCTATGACTAAATCTTGTGAAATAGCGAGCATTCGCTTAGCTAACTCTTTCTATATCTAATGGTAGTGCTGAAGAATGTTATCCTGCAGTGACTTATTTAAAACGGCGATAGTGGATATCGACCGGTTATCGGGTGCACTAAAGCTACAATACTTAAAAGGCTCTTTAAAAGGAGATGCGTTAAGGACTGCTCAATCTTTAACTATTTGTGATAGAAATTATGAAATCGTATGGAAATCACTGTGTCAAAGATTTTTCACGTAAGAGAGAATTGCGTTCATCGTTGTTAAAGAAAATCTTATATTTATCAAATTTACAAACTGAAAATCCTAGTTAAGTTTTGGCGTTCGTAGATAAGGAATATGTATGTTCATTGGAGAATTTTGGGTTTAAAGTTGAAGAATTCGTGGATACTATTTTGATGTTAATAGTACAATTTAAATTATATTCTTTTACGAGAGGATGATGGTAAAGAACGTTAAAGCGAGAGGAAATACCAACCCTTAAATGACCTACTAGAATTCTTAAAATCTCATACCAAAACCTCTGAAGCAGGTAAGCATACTCTTAAAGCAGGTAAGCAACAAAGTGTTAAAAAACAAACTGTGAAAGACAACCTCATTGGAAATTCACGCTCAGTGTACGCATTGTAAAGCCAGTCATTCAGTATTAAAATGTAATACGTTTTTACATCTGAATGTTCAGGAGCGTGTTCATGTTGTCAAGAAAAACAATCTGTGTTTTAATTGTTTAGTTTCAAATCATAAAGCTTTCGAGAGCAGAAAAATTCGTAAATTTAAAAAGTAGTGTTACGGATTTGGTATTTAAATAGCTAGTGCTCGTAGAACTATAAATAAAATTGTTTTATTCCTTGCGCAATGCAGCGCGTGATGAATATTAAAGGAAAGCTAAGCCGGAAAATTAAAAATACAAAGAGCACGTGCATTTAACATCTAATAAATGACAATCTCTTTTTGATTTCGGGAAAGTTCCAGAAAATTCTCGCGCGTGAGTTTGGACAAAAAAATATTCCAAATACTGAAAATGAAACTTCGATCTTTTCATGGATTAAAGTACACATTAATAAAGCAAAAGAATTCCTTCAAAAAATTCAGAACTGCGACATCAACGATGAGTAAAATCGAAGTAGGCATAGCCGCTATCGATTATTTTACGAGTATTGACTTGGAATTCTAGTTTAATTTACAACAATTCCATTACTGCAACTTATTATTTCAACTCATTCTCATTCTGTATATATTCTTCAACTTGTAAGTCTGTAAACAGTTTTATTTACTTAAGATTTTACCTGTTTTGGACTTAGTTTATTTTATGATTTTATGCTTCGAGCTCTAACTGCACTGCATTGGTTCTCATAAGCCATTTTTCCTATGCACTATGTTTTAAAACAAAATACAAAAATTTATTATCAAATTAAGCAATTTTCTAGCTTAATTAAGAACTTTTAACGAACTTTGCTTACTTCGAAGCTGACCAACCAGGTGCCTTCTCAAGATCACACGGCTCTCCTCTGACAGCCTTCACGCCAGCATAGCGCAAGACGCAGAACATCCTTCGTACAGACTTTACAAACTCATGAACTTTCATTTTGTTTGACTTTCGCCCCTGTGTGCTGATGTACTAATGTACATCTTTATTAATTTTAAACCTATAAAATGTATAATGGTTATAATTTTCATGATACTGGTAAAAACCCTTGGAGGTTGAGGCCAGAAATAAAGATACGATCAAAGATCAATTAAGTGAGTTGGTTTGTTGTTGTTTTAAGAGTTTGTTTAGAAAACTGCTCTTGTTGACTGTAGCGAATTCACTTTTAAAAAGGCCTCAGATACATGACAAACATAAGGATTTCATGAGGGAATACTTTGAGCTGTGACATATTAAGAGTGCCTGAGAGAGAGATTATTACTGTTTCTGCGTAACTACATGCCTCATGCCGTCTTGAAGGAATCAAGTACTACTACTAAGCTGAGAATCGTTTTCGATGCTTCAGCTAGAACAACGTCGGGACTTTTATTAAATGACCTTTTGGTGGTTCAGCAAGTTCAAGCAAGAAGTTCAGCAAGAACTATTTCCAAGTCTTCTAACAGTTCAGAACTTACAAAGCTGCTGTATGTGCCGATGTAGAGAAGATATTCAGACAAATTCGAGTCACCCAGAAGATACGAATTGGCAAAAAATACTATAGAGGGATAGTCCTAGTAAGTCCTTGAGTACATTCAGATTAGTAACAGTTACGTATGGGACTGCCTGTGCACCATATTTGTCTACTAGAGTAATGAAACAACTTGCATTAGATGAAAAAGCCAGATTCCCTTTGGCATCATAAATTGCCCTTCGTGAAAGCTAATTGCATAGTCATCTACCTCAGAACAATCAGCTCTGATTCTTCAGTCAAGCTAAGTCATCTGACATCAAAAACCAGAGCTGCTGCCTTAAAACCCCGTTTCTTCCAAGATTACAGTTGTATGTTGTATTACTTTTAACCAAACTCTTACATGCAGTATTATCATGCATAGAACTTCAGATTAACAGTATTTACGCATGGACAGACTCACGGGTTACATTGCATGGGTTTGCCCGAGTCAAGCAATTGGCTACCGTTTGTAGGAAATCGGGTTGCGAAGATTCAGGAAGCTGACGCCCAAACGGTATAGTGGTTAGGAAAGCCTAACTGCAATACTGAAGGGCCCGCCTTCGAATCCCGGAGAAGGCATGGTTGTAACTGTCCGTCCTTTCGTAGGAGGCGATGGTGATCCACCTATTAGGTGCCTTCATAATTAAGAGACCACCACATCTGGCCTTGTATAGATAAATAGACTGTGTTACACCGTAACTCTCACAATCTGCAAATGGAAAAATAAAATATTCAGGAAGCTTCTCCAGGTTTTCAATGGAATTATGTCGCTGGAAAAGAAAATCCTGCAGACTGTGGGATCAGAGGTCTTATTCCATCTGAATTCTTATAATGCGAGTTACGGATGGAGGGACCACAGTGGTTAAACAAATATATAATTCCTGTACAGCAAGATTTAAATCTAGATTTAGAGATCTAGATTTATGTCATACAACATACATTTTGGATTCTGAGTGCCAGAGATGTTATTAGAAAGGGTTTAAACCGATGTGTTATCTGCCTTAGATTTAGAATGCAAAATGCAACTCAGCTATTGGCAGATTTACCTGCTTCAAGAATTACTCAAAGCAAAGTTCTTTTCGTGTAGATGTCGATTTTGCAGCACCATTGAACGTCAAATATTGTTCTGGTACAGGAATTAAAATCTTCAAGTGTTATGTATGGCTATTTATTTGTTTTACTACCAGAGCAATACCTTTAGAATTAGTTGAAAAACATTCAGCAAAATCATTCCTTAAGACATTTAAGCGGTTTATAGACCGCAGAGGCAAACCGTGTGAAATTCATAGTTATTGTGAAACGAGTTTTTTAGGAGATAATAAAGAATTAAAGAAAGCTTTTCTACTGTTCCAACGCAATGAATAGCTTCAGGGTTATATTTCTTCATAGAATGTTCAGTGGTTAATTAATCCACCCCCTGCACCTCATTTTGGAGGACTTTGGGACGCGGGGACCAAGTTCATAAAACACCACTTAAAAAGATGTTTATTAACACTTATTATAACATACGAGGAATTATTGACACTAATAACCCAAATTGAATCCTGTCTTAATTCTAGGCCTTCGGTGCCAACTTCAAGTGATTGGAATGACCTGGAGGTCATAACGCTAGGACACTATATAATAGGACTTTAAGTGCTCTTTCAGAACCTGACAAGATTCAAGAAACCCTGAATTCCTGTCACCGGTGGAAAAACAAAGTCTGTTTCAACACTTTTGGATGAGATGGAGTCGTGAGTATTTGTCTAGGTTGCATATGAGATCTAAGTGTTGAGAGTTGGCGATATAGTCCTCAATAAGAACGAGAATCCACCTCCACTATGCTGGAAATTAGGTAGAAGAGTTAAAATGTATCCTAGTCTAGATTGAGTTCGAATGGTGATTTTACAGACTTCCAATTGTGAAATAAAGAGAACGATAGCAAAACTATGTCCTTACCCATTTAATTAATGGTATTACAGACGTTATTTATTTTTTACTTTTCATGTCTATTTAGTTTTGATAATTTACAGCTTATTTTTCGAACCAACTTGGGATTTCAAGGCTGGGGTATGTTTTTTGTTATGAAAATTGTTTTTCTAGTCATTGACCTGAAGAGCGGCGCAAACGCAAATTAGTGAAGGTCTTAAGCGTGCGCTTGGAGCTTCAAGGGATTACTCAAGTTCCAACGACGCGGATGTCATTTTGAGATGCACTTTTAAAGTAAGCGGTTTACTGTGTCCTTGAGTCGCTATTCCTCAGCGAACGTGACATTTAAAAAGAAAATAAACGATATTCGGTCAAGTTATGAATATGAGATTTCTTGAGTCCTATTGAAGGCACAATCGCAAGTCAACCTTGTAATCCACTAACCATTAACGACTGATTATATATCTTAGTTTCGTGTATTTCTACAGAAGAAACACAATTTATTTTATTGCATTTCGTTTATGATTAATTAATACATTAAGATTTTATACTTCAACATTATTTTTACACTTCGTTCTATCACGTACTTTATCAGTCCAAAGGACTATCTGGCTATAGCATCTAGGTTGAACACGCCGCGGGGATAACGACGCAAGGAGAAAACTTCGACGTAAAATGCATTATGATGAAAGGAAGATAAAACTTTGCAGATTTAAAACATCGAACATTGTCGTCGCAAATAAATTTGGCAAAATATCGCGCTTTAAATGTATCATCATAAAAAAAATTCGCGATAAGAATTTAGGAAAAATCATTTTCTAAAACAATCGTTTATTTAAACGTATTGAAATAATAATTGAACTAAGATTAAAAAATTAATTTTTATGGTTAAACGCAAACAATACATTCAATAACAATCTTTACTAAAAAGATTGACAAATCTGTATTGGAGGGTAATAAAAACATATGACTTCTCTAGAAATTTATAGATGTAATGTTTTATATACATGAAAGTTTAATATTTTTGACAGTGCAGCTGAATCAAGCGATTCCCCCCCCCTTTTTTTTTTTTTTCGTCCGATATAATTTGAAATACGAAATCAGCACGCTTAAAGCACTTATTTTGAAGTCTAATGTTTCTGTTAAACACTGAACTGTAAACTCTTCAAATGGACGCGTTACTGAATAATTTCAATGGCTTAATGTGAATAATCGTTAATGCTTTTGAGTGAAGTATCGTTGATAACAAATTTGGACCTCGCATATTTAAAAGCGTATGGAGTCTCAGTGGCTTTGGGACTAACAGAATACTGGTGCGCTGGAAGTACTTTGCATTGGAAATGAACGTTTCCATTGTTGGACTTGTCAGATCGGTCGCCTGAAACTTGATAAATTTCACCATCATGAGACGACAATCTGTTATCTTGTTCCTATTCCGTTAGAATGTATTAAACTTCAAGTATTCGTTTATCTCAAATTGCAACATAATTATGTTCAATTTTAAAGCAAAACTGAAGTCGTGACATATTTAATCAGACGTTAATGGGCAAGATAATGTTTCGGATAGTCAAAAGTAAATTAGAAGTTCAAAGAAATTATATAACCCTATATGGATTCAAAATTAATACCTCTTCCCTGGATTAAACAAAATTAACACAAAAGCATCAATTTAATAAAAAAAACTGCAAAATGTTAGAACGAAATTTTAGAATATGAATTTCTAAGAATTACTGCTGATTGAGACAAATGCTACTTGAAATATTTACTCTGCATCCGTCTATTTATTTCATTGGAGCTCGTATATACAGGTTTGCTACTAATATTTCAATTTCTATGTTGAAAAGATATGTAAACTAAGAACACAAAATTGTAAATACTTCAAAAGAATTCCCTACGATGATAGGAAAAGGGAAAGAAAATATTTTTAGCATTCCCTACCTGCACATTTCCCGTCATTATTCACTGAATATCCTTTCTCACAGTCACACTTCTTTTTGTCATTTTTATCAAATGAGCACGTTCCCTTTTCTCCACAGTCACATGCTAAGAGAAAATAAAAATTATTTTATTACACTGCTGATCTAGAAGTTATGCAATATTTTTTTATAATTGATATTAAAGACAAGACTGCTATAAAAATGTATAAATATTCTATAAGACAAGAAGAGTTTAAGGTAGTATGTGTATTTACGAACAAAAATTATGTAAATTTGTTGAAACAATTTATGGAAATATTTTGAGCGATCGTTAATTACAAGGAATCCAGTAATCCTGCTTTTCATAAGTCTATCACGCAGTATTAATAATGCAGTTTCTGAGAAATGAAATTTCGCCGCATTTGCCAAATTATCCAACCAACGAAATGCCGTATCTGACATTGCAGACTAGTCTATCTTTTTTTTTTTTGGGGGGGGGCACTGCTGAAGGCAAAACTTCTGTTAGAGTTTGGTCTTTCAGGCAAACAAAATCCGCTGTTTCATTTTCCCACAACAGTCCCCTTTCAAACTTTATTTGAATGATCCTTGATTTAAAAAAACCCTATTTTAAAGTGGTTTTCTGAACTTTGATCAGAAACTGAATTGAAAACTCAAATTTAACGGATTCCGACTTCCTTAACTTTAACAACATTAAACGTTTAAAAACATTAAAGGCCTTCTCCAATCCGCCATAAGTACTTAGTTTGACTTATTATAACTTACATGAGATGCAACGGTTCCCTCTATTGCCGCAGTGAATGCTTGAAAGCAAACTAATACCTACACGTACAAAATACTTTAACTTTCATCTCGACACCTTTTTATAGGCACTTGACATACGTCAAACAGTAAATTTCCTTCGTAAGAGTCTTTCTTGTGCGTTAAATATTTCCGTACTAGCACAATTGCATATTTCATGCTCGCTTTAGGCCGTTTACATCGTCTATGGTTTCAACTAGTAATTGACAATAATTTATATTTTTATGTCATAAATATTAACGTCTAATGACTCAAAATTATAAATCTATTCTATACTTTCAGAACACGCTATGTGATTTTTACTCTAAATCGCACCTTAATGTCGTCTTTACGCTCTCATGTTGAAAATTATTTTAATACGTTTAAATAATATTTATCTAAATGAAATACTATATCTACAATGATATGTAATTAAACATGATTTTAAATAGTTGTTCTAAAGAAAGGCCTGATCGAATGCTAGGGAGGGAGATTTGGATAGGTAGAAATCTACATCAAATGAAAAATGTCTAATACAAATAGGACGTTTAAAAAGAAATATAATGTTTCATGTATTTTTCCCAAACACTGCCTGAAATCGCAGGCGAATAAGGAATTAAATCTTCGTTTCGTAAATTTCTACAGAAGAAGCACAATTTATTTCATGGCATTTCGCTTAAGAATAATTATTAGATTAATATTTTATACTTCATTACTTTTACGCCTTGTTTTACCACATATTCTTTCACTCCAAAGGACTGTCTGATGGTAAGATCTAGAAACGCAGCCGGGATAACGACACAAGGACAAAATTTTGACGTAAAATGCATTATGATAGAAAGGAAGATAAGGAAAGCTTCGCAATTTTAAAACGTAGCTGTACAAAACATCATGGTCGCAAATAAAAACTTGGCAATATATTGCAGTTTAATGTATCGTCATAAAAAATTCGCGATAAAAACTTTGGAAAAATTATTATCGAAGACTATTGTTTGTTTAAAACTGTTAAATCATAACTGAACTAATTAGGAAAAAATTATTTTGGTACTTTTCCGTTTTGCCGGCGCAACGGATAAAGTCGCCAATAATGGTACAACCGATGCCAAACGGAATATTCTCGCTGGTAACCTTTTACGCCTCATTTTCAAAACAAGTCGCAGCTTTTCGAATCAGATTGATTGTTTCTTTCAATAATGGCATAAAATTACATAGAATTTTTATCAGATAGTTCAGTTTTATGTCTAAGGCCATTTTCGGATATTAAGTCAATTAGGATGCAATCACTGCGCTTACACGAAGCCGAAAGTATAGAAAAGTCAAGGGTTAAATTCATCAATTCTAATGAGAATGCATTAGCGAAGTAAAGCAATGCAGTTTTACATAATTTCTGAGTAAGCTATTCGTACGAATTGAAATATTTCTTGCATTTAAACTTGTGTTCCAAATTAAGATTTAACTTGAAATTAATGTAGATAATTACTGAGAGCATTAGATTTTTGTAGAGTAGTTTACGTGAGATGAGATCGCTTGGGGTCACGTGATATGAACCAGCGAATCAGGATGTTGAACCATGAAAGCATAGTAAATTCTTAATTTAATGTCTTTTTACAAATTTATTGTCTTTATTTATTGGCTTTTTATAAAATTTTTAGCGATATTAAAATGTTTATGCCTTAAACATTTTACTTCAAAAAAAGAATTCTTAGAAGTAACATTTTTTTAATATTTTTTATGTGTATACTGTATGTTGTCGCCAATAAAGTCTGCTTGGCGAGATTTGCGTCGGCGAAACGGAAAACTACCATTATTTTTTATGGTTTAATAATAAGAATACATTAAATAATAATCTTTACTAAAAGATCTACAAGTCTGTATCGTGATTAATAGAAACATATGACTTCTGTATAAAATTTATAAATGTAATGTTTTATATTCTTGACAATGCAGCTCAATCATTCGATTTCCTTTTTTGGTCGTTCGACATGATTTGAAATGCGAAATCAGCACGCCTAAAACACCAACTTTTAAGTGTAATATTTCTGATAAACATTTAGCTTGTAAATCGTCAGCTGGACGCTTTAGTGAATAATTTCGATGGCTTAATCAAAATAATCGTTAACACTTCTCCAGTGAAGTATTGAAGTATCGTTGACAACCGAATTTGAATAGGTCAAGGAGACTCGCATATTTAAAAGCGTATTGAGTCTCAGTGGCTTTTGGGGTAATACAATAAATACTGTTGCACTAGAAGTACCCTGCATTGGTAATGAATGTTCCCAATGGTGGATTTGTCAGATCGGTCACAAGCAACTTTAAGAAATTTAACCATTATGCGACGGCAATCTGCTTTTTTTGCTCGCACTCTATTAAAAATATGTTAAACTTCAAATATTCGTTTATTTCAAATTGCAACATAATTTTTTTTTCCAATTTTAGGCAAGTACTTAAGTCGTTACACACATGTAATCAAAAATTAAGAGGGACGAAAATTAGTTTCATAATATTTCGGATCATTAAAAGTGATTTAGATGTTTAAAGAAATTATATAACCGTATATATTAATTCTTATAAATTATTTTAAATATTAATTATATAACCGTGTATTAATTCCTATCCCCCGAACTAAGGAAAATTATCATAAGAGCATCAATTTGAAAAACGAACTGCAAATTGTTAAATTGTTAGAAAACATTTTAGTTTATGAGTTTATGAATGTCTAAGAGGTTTTTTTTTTTTTTTTTTTTTTTTTTTTTCTGATGGAGACATATACGGTGTATTTGTGTGCTTGTTTCATTGTAACTCTAACACACAGCTTTGCTACTCATATTTTAATTTCTATTTTGAAAAGATATCGAAACTAAGAACAAAAAATTGTAAATAATTCAAAAGAATTTCCTGCTATGATAGGGAAAAGAAAAGGAAAATATTTTTAGCATTTCCCTACCTTCACATTTATTATCTTTACTCACTGAATACCCTTTCTCACAGTTACAGTTCTTTTTGCCATTTTCGTCGAATGAGCACTTTCCCTTATGTCCACAGTCACATGCTAAGAAAAAATAAAAATCAATTTATTATACTAGTTAGAAGTTACTTAATAAAAAAAAAAAAAAAAAAAAAAAAAAAACAATTTTTAAAATAATTTATGTTAATGACAAGTTTGTTACAAAAATATGTAAATATTCTATAAGACAAGAAGAGTTTAAGAAAGTATGTGTATTTATTTACTAAAACTTGCAAGTTTGTTGAAGCAATTTATGAGAATATTTTGCCGGTCGTTAGTCACAGGTTAAAGGTGATGTAGGACGTGGACGCTTGATGTGTCCCATGCCTTCCACTGTATAGTGGCAACAACTCCTTGGAGCTGCAAGAGGCCGCCTTGGGCGTTAATTAAAATCTAAGTTAAAAAGGTGGGTTATATTGCCATACAAGCGCGTTAGTCGTTTCACAGATAATTGTGACTTAACAGTGGTGGTTGATTGGCTGCACTGATACAATAAAATGCACAGAAATATAAATATGACACTTGAATATGACACATACAACACATAAATAAATAAATCACATAAATTCAATTACAGACATTTATAGATGTATCTTACCAATTATATATAATCACATGAATACAACACAAGGTGTAGGCTAGGACCGGAATACAAAATGGTAAATACGGAATGCTTAATACATGCTATGGGCTAAGTGCTAAAAAGGTGGCGTTTTTTACAGTATGATAGACGATACAAAATTGTGTTCCTAAATGCAGACATTGATACAATAAAATACACATAAATGAAACATTGATACAATAAAATATGCATAAATACAAATATGACACATAAATATCACATATATAAATAAGTACAGCGCATAAATACAACTTATTACTAGAATTACGAGCATTTATAGATACAGCTTGCTTAAGATATGTAATCACACGAATATATATTAGAACGTGAGTACGAAATGCTAATTACGGAATACTTAATATTTGCAATATGCTAAGCGCAAAAAGGTTGTGTTATTTACGATATGAAACACAACACAAAAATTGTGCTCTTAAAATGCAGACAATAAAATTCATATAAATACAAATATGACACATGCAACACTGCATAAAAGCAACACATAAATGAAATACGTAAATATAATTACAGACATTATAAACATAACTTTCCTACGAATATAATTACCAAAGAAATATAAATATATGAACACAGTTCGTTGCCTATGTCTAAGCATAAAGTGCATACTAGAATCGGAATACAAAATGCTAAATACGTAATACTTAATACTTGCTACATGCTAAGTGGTAAAGGCTCATAACAATCCTGTAAAGCTGTTGCTCATAAGAATATCAGACACAGTAGTAATAGCGCAGTTTCTGAAAAAATGAAAGTTTGTCCCTATTACAAACGTACCCAATCAATAAAATGCCGTATCTGACATTGCACACTCTTCCATTTTTTTTTTTTTTTTCATTTCCTTCGGCACTTCTGAATGTGAATCTTATGTTCGATTTTGTTATTCAGGCAGACGAAGTCCACCATTTCACTTTCCAATATTAGTAATCTTTCAAAATTTATTTTAACAGTAATTGATAAATCCCGTATTTTGAAGTGATTTTCTGAACATTGATCAGAAACAAAATTGAAAACTAAAACATTAACGGATTCTGACTTAATTAACTTTAAAACATAAAACGCCTTCTCCGTTCCGAAAGTAGTTATTTTGACTAGAGTTATCATAACACACATGGGAGGCAACGGTCCCTATATTGCCGCAATGAATGCTTGAAAGAAAACTAATAACTACAGTTACACAATACTTTAATTTTCAGTCCGACATTGCCCCTTGAGTTATGCAAAACTATATATATCCCTGGTAAGAGTCTTTAAATATTTCCGTACTAGCAAAACTGCATATTTCATGGCCGCATAAGGCCGTTTACCTCGTGTATGCTTTTAACTACTAATTGACAATAATTTATATTTTTTGTCTTAAAGATTAACGTCTAATGACTAAAAATTAAAAATCTACTCTATACTTTCAGAACACGCCATGTGATTTTTACTCTAAATCGGATCTTAATGTTGTCTATACGCTGTTGTATCGAAAATGATTTTCCTACGGTACCGTAATATTTAAATGAAATGTATCCACAATTATATGTAATTAAATATGATTTAAATAATACATTGAGAAGGAAGGCCAGAGCGAATGCTAGGAACGGAGATTTGGATAGGAAATCTACGTCAAATGAAAAATGTCTAATACAAATAGGACATTTCGAAAAACATTACCTTATTTCCACGTAGGAAACTTAATGTTTCATGTATTTTTCGAAACCACTACCCGAGAACACAGTCGAAGTACTAAATTAAATCTTCTGCTTGTTGTTATGCAAATTGTGTTTCTAGCCATTGAGCTGATTAGCTTGCAAAATAGTTTAGTTAGTTAAGACACAATAACACGCCGAATAAATACTAATTCAGAAGTCAAACAACAAAAATCAGCGTTATATTTTCAAAATTTTCACAGGACTAGTTTCGATGGTTTTACCGAACCACCATCCTCAGCTGCAAAACCGCAAATGAACGAGATAGGAAATAATGATTAGATAAGATAAGAAAGCCTGGACAGGAATAAGCAAGTGGCGCCATCTGTTGATGAAACCAGAACTAAAACATAATTTCTTTAAAGGCCGAAGGCAAAGATGGATTGGAATTAGGATCGTTAACTAGAACAGAAAGATTTTTTTGAGTGTGAAATGCTTCTAGAAAATCCAATTCTCCAATGGAAGATGTTTTTTGAATAATTTTGGCAGCAGAAAAATTGAAAGTGTGATTTTCGGACCAACAATATTGAGCAATAGAAGACTTCTGTGTTTCCTTTTTTCTAAAAAAGTTAAAAAAATTAGTGTCTAAAAAAATTAGTTTAGTTAGTGTTTTTAAGCTTGTGCTGGGAGCTTCAGGGAGAGTAACTAGAACGATGCAGGTGTTCCTTAGATCTGCAAGGTAATATTCGAGGTTTTTCGTGTTTGGTGATTCGCCGTTCTTCAGCCAACATGACGTTTAGTAATGAAATAAAGGAGGTTCAGTCAAAATTACGAACTGAATGTGGAGACCGCAAGTCAACATTACAGTCCACTAACCATCAACGACAAATCATGCATCAACCTCGTAGCAAACAGAAAAGTTATTAATAATTAATGATATTTCAAGCTATGGAATTTACTCATTTGATATCATTCTTAATCCAAATTTATCAAACTTAATCGTAGAAATTACCATAATAAAAATTAGATTTTAGAAACAGTTTTAAATTTGTCCGTTGAAAACATACAACTGTTTTAAGTATTGTATTTTCCGGTTTGCTGGTTAGTGACCCTGACTGTCGTAGCGATGGGCCCGGGTTCGAATCCCAAAGAAAGCGTGGCTGTAGCTGTCCGTCCCTCCATAGAAGGTAATGGTGGCCACATGTTAGCTGTTTCCATAATGAAATGGTCACAATTTTCTGCCCTTGTAGAGGCGCAAAGCTAATAGGTAATCAATAAAGCGTCTGTCCATTAAAAAAAAGTATATTTGCGCTGCACGCATATTTATAATTCTTTAGAGCATATTGAGATAAGTGGCATTTTATAAAAGAAACGAAATAAACAATTATAATGCAATAATCACGATTTGCAAAATGTAATCCCTAATGGTATTAAAAAAAAAAAGAAATTTAAAAAAAAAGTTGTGATAATTTTTTACACTTTTAGAACTGATAAAAAATATGAACCCTTAAATTTTACTGAGATCCATCAGCTGTCAAGCGGTAAAAAAGAGGGGTAATTCAACCTGGGTTCGATTTCATGCGAACAGGCCTGCTGTATGAGCGCTCTCCTGGATTTCCTCGTGTGTAATATGAGGACATCCATGTGTAATATGGGGAAATCCTGACTCCCTTAAAAGGTCCTACACTAAGGCATCCGTCCCCCCTTTGGCAGATAGTCCTGGCGTGCTTTACCATAAACCCACTGAGCCACTGAGCACCACTGAGCCACTGAGCAGGCTTCTGACCTACGGTGTATACCAGACACAATAGTACCTGCTCCGCAGAAGATCAAGTACAATCCAGCAGCTGCCACCACCACTGGCTAGGGCTGTACTATTTTTTAACAAAATCAGAGAGTACATATAGTAGCAGTATTTCATAAACAAAAACAACTTGCATTCATATGCTATACATAATTCGAAGTTATAAGTTGGTACTTAATATAATAAAAACAAAGTTGCTGATTAAATTTTACAAATACTTAGTATAATAAACAAAACAAAAAATAAAAACCAAAATAAAAAATGAAGAAAGAAATAACATAAATAAAATGAATAAATATATATAAATAAATAAGTGGAATATAATATAAATAATAAATAAATGAATGAATATATAAAAGAAAGGTTTATACAACGAATTACTTAGCTAGTTGATGAATATGAATATCGCTATGGAATGAGAATTTAGCTAGTTGATGATTATGAATATCTTTCTTTACAGAATTTGTAATATTTTAGTCAGTTTAATAAGAACTCCCTTAGTTTTTAAGAGCTATGAAGTCTATTATTCCAAGTATTGATCAGATGGCTTGGTCAAGATTGGCTTGGTTTCGTGAGACAACAGGAAAAGTCTTAATGATCCAGAGCTCTTTGCTGGCCACATTCACAAGTGTTCAGTTCTGTAATACCAAATCAATGAAGATATGTTATGAAAGGTCCATGGCCTGAAAGAAAGTTTGTCAATGCAGAGGGAAATGTAAGCATCTCAGTAGACGCATGGAGACAAAAACCAAAGTCCGTCTTCCTATTTATTGCTATATTCTATTCTAATGCAACAATGAAATCCCGCGAAGCTAATGTAGGCGCAGCGTGCACATTATTAAAGATGATGAGTCACCGTATTTGATACTTTGATACTTTTGATATGCCTGTTTCAGCAGGAATTATATCCCGCTATTACAGGCACCTCTAATAACCCCGGTTAGAGGAGACATACAGTGCTTCGCAGGAATACCTTGACGAGGAACTGCAGGAAGATTATGTAGATGTGGCCAGGCCAGTGTAAATGAAAATGTCATACTTTGAAACTTCGGAATTGGCTGCAAGAAGTTAAGCTTATTTATGGTGGGGGGCTTCCGGTAAATGTGGGTTGTATAGAGCCTTAAATTGATGTCAATTTCTAGGAGCTCGTACTTAAAATTGTCTGAATAATTTACCTCTGCGTTGGTGGTGGCTTTGTTGAAATTTTTTTTATTTAATTTAATGATGAATAACGTCAGACTTTGGAGTTTAAGGTCTCTGTGTAGCTGTTCATTGCCAACGAATCAGGGGGCTCCTGTGATTTTTCGTAAGTAGTTGTTTTGGAAAACTTGTAATTTATTTAATACGGAGGTGGGAACAGAGCACCATGCAGGGGAGAGAGTCACCGTATCACAGTACAGTTCTATTTTATTGGCTACAGTACTGTCGTCTGTCGCTTGGTGGCCTGTACGGTGCACCTGTTGCTGTTCGTTTTGACTAGTCAGTTAGAGTGTCGTTGACCTGCCACAGTACTGTGAAGGTCTCTTTCGCGTCTGTGCATTGTTTTGTTTGTGAGTGCGTTTCGTCGTTCACGACGGCTTCTAATACAAAACGTACTGTGTTATCGTTAGCGGATAAACTAAAAATTATAGAGTAATCAGATAATAGGGTAAAAAGTTGGCTGAGATGTACGGTGTTTGGACGTTCAACGATTTCAGACATTTAAAGGAGCAAACCTACACTTTTAAACTTCGTGTCAATACTTGAAAACGAAAATAGAAGTTCTTCAAGAAAATCAATGAAGGTAGGAACAAACAAAAATTTAGACTCAGACACGGGACCATCAGCTAAGTGAAGCGTTTTCAGGCCTTGAAACTGCGTTGAAGTGGATGGAGCGTCAGGCCGAGTGTGACCACGAGCAACTTCTCATGGTCAAGCGGATGCATGACTTGGCTGCCTGAAAACGGATGAAGACGGTCAATCAGCTTACTTTGACCGAGATTTTCAGCAAGCAATGGCGTTCAGCACTTGTGAATACTGTGCAGTACGCTATATAACATATACGTAAAAGTGCTGCTTTTCATTTTAATTAATTGAAACCTCTTTTTCTTTAAAAATAGTTTCTTTCTCCCATTTTCAACATAATTAATTAAGGTGTACGCAGACCCTTTCTTCGGAAAAAATCCGGATATCCGAACGGGGTCCGGTCTCAATTGATTCGGATAATTGGAGTTCTTACTGTATATATGCAAGCAAACAAAAGAAACCCTTTTCTTCTTTACAATCAATCAATTAAAGGTGTCATAATTTTTTTTTTAAATCCTTCTTCCAAAAGAAAATGCTTGTTCAATAAGGCCTTTAAACAGATTTGAAATTGCAATAAATATTTGGGATTTTAAGGGAAAGGCGTGTTAACAATTAATTAGTTCCTTTATTCAAAACATTTCCGTCAAACATTACCGTTCAAACATTAATTGTTAGATACTTGCTTTATTCAGAAACATTACCGTCAACATTACTGCTCAAAAACATTACAGTTCAAATCATTACCGTTCTAAAAAAATGTTGTTGCCAATCGGGAAAATGCATTTTAAATAAAATTAATACGTTGCGTTTACATTCAGGCATCCTGACTTCGTTACGACCACGGAACATTAAGAAATTATACTTAAAAAATTAAATCTGTAATATTAATGTTTATAGTTCGAATGTCATATAGATTCACCGTCGTTTTCTATTCTTTTTCCGTGTCCTAGTTTTAGTAATATGCGGCGTGTTGTTATCGTTATCCCCAGTAACACTAATGTCATCACCATCATCATCGTCTTCTTCTGATTCAGCTTGACACTGCCATGACTTTAATTCTAAATTTGCTTGAATGATAATTATTTTCTGTTTCTGTTGTTTCTTTACTTACATAATAAACTAATGCCACTTTCTTATCTTCACCTTTTTGCAACAGCATTCCTGCCAGCTGTTTGATGCTCGCGTCTGTGTGCACCTTAGTCTCTGCTTCCGGATTATATAATGCTACTGGTTCCATAGTACTGGTGCATTCTAGTTAAATGATGTTTTAAAGTACTGAATGCTTCTTGCTGATTTTCATTCCAACGAAATGCTTCATCTTTCCTCGTCAATCTCGTTAACGGCCTCAGCTTTCTTTGCATATTTCGGTACAAACCTTCTAAAGAAACTTGCAAGTCTTAAAAATTGTTTAATTTCATGTTCATTGGTTGGTTTATAGGAAAATTTAATATGGCTCGTACCTTTCTTGGTCCAGGTTGCATACCATTCGATTTTATTAGAAATCCAAATACTCAACTTCATCTTTTTCCAAATTCGCATTTTGTCAGTTTCAATGTCAGCATTGCTTCTCTCAATCTATCAAACCTTTTCTAAGTTTTTCCATCATTTCTTCCCAAGATTTAGCCGGAATTAATATGTCGTCCAATAGCACAATACTTCTTTATTAAGCATGGACCTAAAACTTGATTTATAAGTCTCTGAAATTCTGCAGGAACATTAGCTAACCCAAAGATCATACGTTCAAACTGACCAGTATCATCTGAGTGATGAAAGCTGTTTCAGTTTCGCTTCTTCAGTTAAGGAATCTGTAAATATCATCCAAGTCCAATGTAGTGAAAACTTTACACTCACTAAGACATTCAAGAAGATCATCTATCCTAAGGAGTGGAAATTTATCTTTAACAGTTTGCGAATTCAACTTTCTATAATCTATCACTAATCGTAATTCACCTGGTAAAACTAGACTAGCATACGGAGATCTTGTTTCAGTAACAATTCCACATTTCTTCCATTCATTTATTATCTTCTTTCTAGAAGCACGCTCTTCGGCATTGGTTTTATACGAATTCATGCAAATAGGCTTACTCCCTTCAATTTCTTTAATATCCATTTTTGTTAAGTTTGTCACCCTAATTCCTCCATATTTAATGCAAAACAATCTCGATACTCATTTATCAAATATAAAACTTCCTGTGTTCTCTCTGGCATAATATTGTTATTATTTTTTCTAAAATAATCGGTCTCTTAAACTTCTTAATTTCATTCATTATCATTATTTCCTTTTGACTTGAATTTTCAGTTCTCTGATCTGAACTTGGTTCAACTAATTCTGTTACTTCCGCTCTACCGATACATTGATTCTCTTTCAAAATTAGTTTTCGATCGCTGTAGTTAGTGACTGGTATCACTGTTTCTCCCTGTATTACTTCCAATAATGAGCCCAACTCATCTTCCGATCCACTTATTAAAACATAACCGTTATTTATTTCATCAATTTTAGCTTTCACAAAATTAACCATATTACTTTCGATTTGAGTTTCTTGGGAAGCCTTCAGTTTAATTCGCAGAGTGTTGCTATCATTTTGCAACTATGAAAATGGGCAGTCATTAGCATAGTGTATGTGCTATCTTGGCGTATGCAATATGTGGTAAATCAATCCATTTTCGACCAACTAATAAGTCGCATGGTTGCGTTTCATCTCCTACAATTAGAACTGTAATGTCCTTTCCTTCCACATTATCAATCTCTAAGTTAACAGTTACTTTTCCCAGTGTTCTAGCGGCTGGTTTACTCTGCTTCCCAAAGCTAAACAATTCCTCCAGATCAGGTTTTATAATAAGATTCAGTTTCTTAGCCGCAGACTGTTTCAATAAACACGAACTAGAACCTGTATCTATGATTGCAGTAATTTCTTCTCCATTATTGATGCGAGCATACTTTAAATATACAGTTGGTGAAACACCTGAGTTGTGGTCCACGGATAAATTATTTTTAACATTTGTCAAGTCTGAACTCTTAGACGTACACTTTTTAAAGTATGACCCATTTCATTACATTTCATGCAAATAATTTCTTTTTTAGGTTGAGGACAATCCGTCGCTATATGTCCATAATCATTACAATTGAAGCATTTCGGGCACCCTTTTCATTTCGGATACCAGAATTATATTCCCTTTTCTTTCATCTATTTTATAAAATTTATCTCTCAGATTGTATTTATTATCAAAACTGTTTTTAAAACCCACTTTGAAATTACCATCTGTCTGCATAGAATCGTTAACATTTCTGGTCTTGAATACTGATTATAGGATCCTTCATAAAATTAGAACCAAATTTAGGCTTAGAATTATGCCTAAAGTTTTATTTTCTACTTGAAGTACTTTTATCCCTGCCCGAATATATTTTCATATTCATCTTAGTTTTTCAGCCAACTCTTCAGGTTAATGAATTTAGACCAATCATCAATGAAATGATCTCGAATAGCAGCGGGCCTTTTTTTAATTGTTTCCTAATAATAAGTTGTTTTAAAGAGTCAAACTCTGTTACATTTAATCCAGCAAGCCCTCTTCAAAATAATTTTTTTAATTCAAAATGAAGTCCTTCACGTATTACGCATTTTAATATGATCAAGACTTTGCCGAACTCTTCAGGCTTAACTTAAATTTCTCAGTAGCAGTTGTTTAACCTGCTTATAGTCGTTAGCTTTTTCTTCTGATTCACGGGCATTATTGAGTTATTCCATATACAATAACTCAAGTGAGAAACCCAGTTTTGTTCGTCTTACCAATACGTCGTGCCTGTCTTTCAAATAAACTAAATAAAAACTTATGTCCCTTCATTCAAATCATACTTATGCATTAATTTACTCATATCACAAATATCACTTTACTAACATTAGAAGGAATAATCATTTACATTACTACTCTTTTCCGTTTCTATTTTCATTTCAAGTTCAAAGTTCTTGCTTATCTTTTTCTAAAATTTCCATTTCAAATGCTTTTCTTTTCTAAATTCTAACTTTTCCCTATCTAACGATCATTTATAATTCTATCGCATTTGCTTAGTAAAGTCTTCGTTATAGTTCTTACTATTCAAAATCGTATCCCTTAAGCCTACAATTTTATATCAGGGGACATCTACATCAGTTCCAAAGCAGTTCGTTTAAGTCACATTCTTGCCTCTTCCAAGAGCACCTAGACTTCAATTTTCAAATAATAATACAATAATTTACTTATTTTTCTGTTTAATACTTATACATAGATAACAGTTTATAAATTCACGTACCTTTCTACTTTCAGTTTTGGCGAGCTTCCCATTCAGTTTAGGCTTAACTACATAAGCATGTTGTTCAATCTAGATAATATTCTAGTTAATCCACTTTCTGAATGTTAGATTAATTAGTTTCCTTTATTCAAATATTTCCGTCAAATACCGTTCAAACATTAATTGTTAGA